AGACGTAAAAATGATTGCATCTACCAAAAAGGAAAAACAAACAAATACGAATATTTACAAAGCTTGTTTTGCTTAATTACCAAGTCAAAAAAGCATATTTTGAATTGACAAGTTCGTCAGGGAACCAACTAATCAAGTATTATGATAAGCTTTCTTTGCTTCTTCTTTATAGCACTATAATAGAATTGAATGCGATATACTATATTATCTTTCTTTTTTTTTTTTTTTTTTTTTTTTTTTTTTTTTTTTTTTTTTTCTTTTTACTCTCTGGTATTAGAATTCCCTTTTTTTTTTTTTTTTTTTTTTTTTTTTTTTTTTTTTTTTAACTCTCTGGTATTAGAATTCCCCGTGCTCGACTAATCCGAATTATATTAAATTTTAGTTTATAGGTAAAAATGAAAAGCTGAAAATCTGTAATGTTAATGCTTAACAGAGTACCAGAGGCTACACTCAACGCAAGTTTTCATGGTTCAGGACACAAAGACTGACCCAAACCTAATAGTGGTGGCATTTAGGGGCACAGAACCATTTGATGCAAATGCATGGTGCACAGATTTTGATTTCTCATGGTATGAGCTTCGTGGGATTGGCAAGATCCACCGTGGCTTTATGAAAGCCCTAGGCCTCCAGAAGGATGGCTGGCCAAATGAAATTGCACCGGACAATCATAATTTATACGCATACTACGAAATCAGAAGAGTGTTAAAGGAAATATTGAACAAGAATGAGAATGCTAAATTTATAGTTACAGGGCACAGCTTAGGTGGGGCATTGGCAATTTTGTTTGTGGCTGTTTTAGCTATACAAAAAGAGGGTTTTTTACTTGATAAAATGGAAGGGGTTTACACATTTGGGCAGCCAAGAGTTGGGGATAGGCAGTTTGGTAAATTCATGCAAGGTGTATTGAAAGAATATGATGTGAGATATTTGAGGTATGTTTATTGCAATGATATGGTGCCTAGATTGCCGTACGATGATTCAACTCTTTTGTATAAGCACTTTGGTCCTTGTCTCTACTACGACAGCCTCTATCAAGGAAAGGTTAGTTCTGTCTTTTTCTTACGTTTTATATTTCTAAGTGGATTGATTGATTCCTGTGTAATGATTTTTTATGCGACTAACTCATGATTGGGATGCAGGTTTTGTGGGAAGAGCCGAACAAGAACTACTTCAACTTGTTATGGGCCATACCGAAGAACATAAATGCTGTTTGGGAGCTGATTAGAAGTTTTATACTGCCTTGGGTCAAAGGTCAAAACTATAGAGAAGGTTGGTTTATGACCGTATTTAGGATAATAGGTTTGCTAATTCCAGGATTATCAGCTCATACTCCTCAAGATTATGACAATTCTACCCGATTAGGATCTTTGCCTCAAGAATTTCACCGGGATTAGTAACACCCTGATTGGTACAGAATTATCCACATGTAACACTGTAATTCCATCTATTTTTTTTTTTTTAAATTTCCACTTACAGGATATTGCTCTTTAAGGGGAATTAGCTTACAGGACAATTATTCACTTTATGTGAAGATCTTAACCCCATTTCAAAATTTTACTTTAGAACTGAAAATAAGCAAGATTTATGGCATTTGAATTGCAAGGCAAAATGTCATACGTGAGAAAAATATTATTGCCATATACATAAATACATACATAATAAGTACACGCATACAAGACTTATGAGCCTAATTTTTTGGATATGTTGGTGCCGCAAACAAGAATACTTCTTATCTGAAATCTTTATGGAAACACTTGAGCTTTGTGACCCAGCAAAACTGAATTGACACCAAAATAGTGGCAATATAATGGTTCTGTTGCTGTACACTTCCTTCTGCTGCAGGTGTAATTCCACTTCCAACCTGGCCACAGACCTAAAAACCTTAATTGAGTTCCTTGACATATTAAAGGATATGAAACAGAAAATACAAGTACTATATATAGATAGGATCACCAATGCATTGTGTATAAACAAATAAACATTTAACTAGTTGTTGTAATGGAGAAGACTCGAGAAAAGTATAAGCATTGTATTTTGAATTATTTAATTAATTCTGGAGACAAAATTCAGTTTTATTTCAAGTCAAAACATTTGACCCAAATTAGCTAAAGATCATCAGACTCAATAGTTAATAATTTAGGCAAGCCATGACAAGCACCTAGTGGTAACTACTTTTGCCATAATAGAAAGGAAGATGAAAAAAATTTTCCAGGAAGTTACCAGGCATCTTAAGCTGATTAAAGCATAGCAAATATATGGTTGATGAAACACTAGAAAGCATGGCATGTGAAGCAACCACTCAAGGACCCCATCTGACGGGTTCTTCGAAATGATATAACCTTGTGAGAAGTCCTGGAAACTTGGTGTGCCTGGTTGGCTAATACGGAGCTCCTCATTTCTTGGGCTCTCTTCTGAGCTGATCTCAACTTGTTCATAATTTTATCCATAGATGATGATCTCTTCTTTTCAAGCTTCATCTGGAAAGCATTTTTAAGTCAGTAAAGCCCACAAGCTCAAGCCTCTGCTTTATTAAAATACAGAATCAAAATTGAATGCCTACAATTTTTCACCTTAGTTATCCCAACACTAGTAACATATCAGTCCAAGTTTGCAATCAAGGACCTTTCTAATTTTCATTTTCACTTGTATTTTGCACAAAAGAAAAAAAATTAATTCTTTTTTCTTGGGTACCCTAGAAAAAAAAAACACCATCTAGAAAAATACCATCTCCAAAAAGCTACCCATGCTATGTCCGGCAATTAACTACTTGAGACCTAGGACAATATGTTTATGTACGATAGAATGCTGCATTTTTTTCCACATATAGAAAGAGTGGAGTTTGGCATCGAGTTAATTGTTGCTTCGTCTATCCTGTCCTTAGGTAGTCAAAAGATGATTAATCTACCAATCTACCAATTAAAAAATTTACGAATCTACCAATTCTACTAACTTCCGCATCATGTGCTATTCTCTATCCAGTTTAGCAACAAACAAGGTAATAAATTTACAAAAGGGGGCCACCGCTTTATGAAATTCCACAAGTATTAAATCATGGTCAAGTGAGCAGAAAAGGACAAAGGAAATACTTAAATTATGGTTACGGAACAGCTTGATTTTCTACCAAACCAATGTTTGATCATTAAGTCAAAATGTCCTATAAATTATTCATAACTGCAGGAAAATTATGTAGGAAGAAAAGAACCTCAAGTTTCCTTATTGCTGCTTCTGCTTTTGCCTTCTGCAGATTCTCCCATGCAGTAATTTTGGCTTCCTCTCTTTTGGCCCTGGCAGAAAAACAAATGTGGTTAAAATTTTGCCTTCTAACTTAAATACTTCTTTTGGAATATAATTAGTTCTTTAGGACCACCTAATATGGGACTAGAATTACTAGGTAAGATACTAAGCCTCAAAACAAGGAGATAGTTATTAACTATGAAAGCACAAAGGATAAAGGAATAAAAGGTCATTGAAAAATAGTAATCCCTCATTTTCAAAATTATAGTCAAGTTTTATTTTGCCAAGGAGACTACGTAAATTTTTTGAATGAAGTATGTTTTGCAAGTTTATCAATTTTTATTATTTAGTATATGGCACAAAAATCAATTTCAGTTATTTGAAGATTATTATTGACAAAATAACCTTTCTAATTTGTTGACCTCTTACTCAAGGTAGTTAAACACCATGCATCCAGAAAACTACTATAAGATTTTCTTACTCAAGGTAGTTAAACATCAAGCATCTGAGCAAACTACTCTGAGATTTGCTAAATCAGATTTTCATTGCATAATAAACACTACCATTTTTCATAATAACTTTTTTTTTGTTTGACCACAAATATTACCTAGAATAACATGCAACCTATAATAGAGATCACTGAATAGAAACATTAAACTAAAAGCCCATACAAAATGAGCACCAAGGAAAAAAAAGGCCATACGCTGCAGATAATGAAGAACTATAAGACTGAATTAACTGGGATATTTAGTATTACCCAATCAAGAATTTTCAACGTCAAAGTTAAATTCAAAAAAGAAAACAGAGGCGAGAAGCAAGAGATCAAATACTATATCAGACTACTCTTCTTGTAGTTGGATTTCTGTGGTGCACAATCAATAAGCAGAAGTTCCAGGATGAGCCCGGATTTGAAAGTAACCAGTTTCAACCATTAAAAATTTCTGACTCACTTTTTCGGTCCCTATAAGGGGAAATGATGAATTATAAAAAGTGAAATAGAAGACTTACTTGGAAATGCTCTTTGCAGCCTCTGAAACATCCCAAGCTGAAGATCGAGCATCAACAGCTTTCTTTCTCCAATCATCAACAATTTCTGAGCTTTTCCCCTGGTTGCGGGTTCTATGTTTCTTAGACCACCTCGTGACAGTAACCCTTTCATCCATTTGCACATCCCTGACTTCTGATTTATTGGAATGTATGTTTTGCAGTTCCACAATAGGTAGGGCAGAGGGAGTGGAGGCAGAGAATGAAAGCCTCCTGCTTGGAGATGAATGATTGCTTCCCTCAGGACTCATTTGAGTTGCCATATCCCTTCTTGAAACAGCAGATGATATATCTGTAGCTGCATCCTTAACGCCATCAAGCTTCTCATCTGTATAATTGACGCAACAGTGACAGGCCAAGATTAGATAGGATTAACCTTTAACGATACCAGAAACATGTCAACTTCCAACAGAACATCAATTAATGCAACAATGCAAGTGGAAAAAAAGAAATGCTGTCAGAGATTCATTTGTTCAGAATTTGTAGATTCCTAACGAGATTTTGAAACCAATTTTTATGAGAAGCAGTTGGATGGTCAAGGTGGTATATCGATCTAGTTTCCCAGTCATTCTTATGCACCAGTACCAAATACAATTGAAAGAACACTACAAAAAATTCATAAAGCACGCATAAAGTTATCTCTGTCTTTTCTATTTGGGAGAATTCAGAGCAAAATCTTTAATAAAATGATATATTTTAAACAGAAACATCACAAAAAACGTAATATTGAGACCAATTCGATCTTCCCAGCAGCAGATAGAGTCAGAAAAGACATAAAAATATATTTAACGAAAAAAACGGTTGAAGGAAGCGACAAGGCTGAGGAGTTGGCCTTTTACCTTGGGAAGGCAACGAGGACTGGTCCAACACTTCAGAACATCCGTGCACACTAACTGAACGGGCCATGCAAGGCTCTGTTCGCACAGGAAAGGCCACGCCATGGGCATTAGACCGAATAGCCACGCCATCTGCAGCAATAACACCAGCCGAAAATGGAGAACTTGCCAATAAGTTTCCCACATGTGTGCCATCAAACACTGGCATGGCAGGCGAATACAACGAATAATACGCAATCCCAGGAGGTCCAAGCGGTCCACTCTTCGACTTTGGCCTCCGGTGAGGAGCTTGAAGCGAAGCTCTCGCTGCCCCATCTCCGGAAACAGGACTAAATATCCACCTCTCAGCATCCTCCCATTTCGACGGCAACGTGCGCCCATTATGGAAAGGTAACAAGGCAGAGCTCACTTGGCGCCTATTACCATTAGTATGCAATGGCACTCGCTCCGAGCTCCAACCCTTCTGCATTCCAACACTAGCGTGGCGATAATTGGGTGTGCCAGGGCTGGGAAACGTACCTGATTTCCGAGATGAAGTTGAGCTCTTTTTCATGGCACCCAATCGCGGCGATGAGGCTGCAATAACATTGTTGAGATCCAGTGAAGCAGGTCTCCGTCTGTCTGGCTTCTTCGAAATAGCTTCAGATCTGGATCTCCGTTCCTGACATTCTATATTAAAAGAATCAATTAAAGTCAAGACTCCCGATTCAGAGGTTGAAGCTAAAAGTCCAAATTTAATTTCTCACTCGAATAGTACTGTTTTTTCACCTTTAAGAGCTAGAGAGAATGAGTTTCTTGCTGAATCTGGAAGATGGCTTTCGTCTTCTACTTCTATAGTAGCTTTGTTATCTTCTTTTTCAGCTGTACAATAGAAGTGAATAGTGAGGGAATAGACGAATTTGAAATTGGGATTTCTGACTTCGGATTGAGTTGTCTTTTTCTTTCTCCTAAAAATATTATTCATAAAAGCTAAAAAAATCTCACATTAGCTGTACCTTTCGCCTTTTCACCTTTTCTGAAGAGACGAGAATGAGCAGGAGCGTTTTTGTTGTTGCTGTACACAGTAATTAGTTTGTTTGGACCTGGATCTCGATCTGGACCACTCGAAGTTTCGTGGAGGTCATTACCACCAATGCCACCACCAATCGGAGTTTCACGTCCTGCCAAATGCTGCATCAAAATCATTGGATTTTAGCGCCTTCAAGTCTCAATTCTTTTTTCTCAGATAGAATCACTTACGCGTCATTTAATTAATTGGAATATATCGTCCATAGAATAAATTTTCAGTTCATATTATGAATTGATTGGAAGCTACCATCCCATAATCCAAACGACTACATACTCTAATTCCACCAGAACACATTCAAAATAATATACAGTTCGTCAAGTCAAGCTTCGGTCAGCTCAAGAAGAAAAGACATGCAATGTAAGTTAATTACTCAAATCAAGCTAAAATATTCCAATTTCAAATATGCCAGTCCTTTAACGTTACTACAAGATTACCAGGGAAATTTCAGAAGCGAGAGAGTCCCGATCGTGAGCATCGGACGCGAACGAGCAGCGGTCAACACTAGCAGAAGCAGAAGAGAAGAGGCTAAAATTGGACTCGAGAGTGAAAATAACAGAGTCAGGGCTAGCATCGCGAGCTCTAAAACCCGATCTAGTCGAGCTCTGATCCTGAAACCCTATCTCCGGCATTGTAAATTTTCACTTTCTCCACATTCCTAAGTTAGAACTGTAGAGAAAAAGAGAAAAGAAAGGCAAGGACAACAGAGAGTGAGATATCGCCTTTTAGGCTTTGGAGAATCTGCTTCCATGGCAAGCCGCGTTATATGGGGGGTGCTAAAAAGTACTAATTGATGTCATAATCCGTTTGTTCTTTTGTAGTTTGATTATATATTTTTTAAAAAAAAAAAAAAAACAAAAGCAGAGAATAAGATAAATAATTTTCGGCTAATATTTGCAATTTTTAAGTTTTAATTATGATGATGGAAGATGATTTTGTTTTTGTTAATCAAGTGTTTGCGGTGGTGGTGAGTGGGGTTTGCTGCTTTGAATGTTTGGGCCTTGACTTTGAATTTGACTGGTTAGAAAATGACAGCAGGGCCCTCGTATCCTGCGATAGATCTTGCATGTTTCTCTTTCGAAACACGGGGTACTAATGACCTTCAGGCATCAATTTTTTTTTTTTTTTTTTGTTCGTTTTAAGGTGCACAAGTGTACAGTAAATTCCACGAGCTAGTCTAGACGAACACTGACTGGCAGGTTAATTTTCACTTTTTTCTGGTAGATAAATGACGTCGTAGTGATGCGACTTTTACCGTTAGATAAAAAAAAACAAAAAGAATTGTACCGTTAAATAAAGAAAGAAAATGAAGTAAAAGAGCACAATTTTTTCAGTTTACTGTTTAGTCAGTGCTGATGTACAGAGAGAGTGAAATATTATCTCAAGTAAAAGAACAGACAGTAAAATTTTTATTATCTCAGAGTCCGCTTCAGAATTCCATATAAGAAATCCAAAGAAAAAGGTAATTGCCTTGCCGTTTTGAAATTAATGTACTCTTTTTAATGAAATACTACTACTAACTAAAGTAACATTCCAGAAGCAATAATTTTTCTATCATAAAAAATGAGCACCGTGTTCTAAAAATAGATAAAGTTTAGGGTCTTAATCAAGTTTCTTAATGTCGCAATTAGACACGAAAATCCAAAATTATTGAAAAAAGGTAAGAGGAAAGAAACATTTTACCAAACGCATGAGTGAATTGTTTTAGGTTGCTGAGGAAAGAAGCAGCACCTATTAGCGAGGGAGTGACCATATGTTTCTGTTACCCATTAAAAGTGGCGCATTAAGTGGTCAAACCTTTGGTTAGTTGTATAGTTCATCTGCATGTGACTTCCTCGTGATTTAAAACATAATTTTGTAGAGCAAGCCTTGTGCATGTGATCATCTTCCTTATTTATTTTAATTATTATGTTTATTAGTATCAGAACTAGCTTTAATTAAGTATACGCATGATTTTATTTATTTATTTTGGGCAATTAAATGCTCGTGTCAGGCTACGCCCACGCGGTAAGAGATTGACAACCTGGATAATTACTTGTCCAAATGGGTTCTACCTGTGGTTGGTATGTAGTCATCCTATTGTTAATTGAGGTACTGTATTACAGAGCTCTAAAGTCTACACTAATTAATAAGGCCTGCAATGCAAATGTGTGGCAAATGGCAATTGATTAGGACATATCAAATACTTCGATAAGAGCAACGTTTGTTTTGTCTGAGGCATTTTAACAAAACCCGCTCGTGATTCGTTAGGATGGCAATTATTTTCAGATAGTCGAGCCAACCATTTACTACTCCTTTCAATTTCAATTGCAGAGGTTGGATTGTCAATATAACTTACGAATCCTTATTTTTGATTATGAAATAATGTTTTTAAGTGCCAATTTAGTTAATCTCTGCATGTCCACTACCAATGCATTGACTTTAATTAGCAAATTGATTAATCCACCTGATAATGACTTTAATACCGAACAATAAGTTACTTGTATTTTCATATCTGTAATCAAGGGTCTGATGGACGAAATTCTAACAAATCAAATCGCTGGATGGGTTTAGAATCCCGTGATTGTGGTTGCTTGTGAAAGTGAAACGCAAATTTCCAAGAGACTGTTTGGTTTTACTGCTGAAATACTGATAAAAGAGAAGAAAAGTCAACTGTAAAGTAGCATCTAAAGAAAGAACTGTAGAAAAAATTGCTTTCATCCCAATCCAGGTATGGTCACTAGATGAAGATACAGAAACAGGCATATAAAAGATACTCATAGATGTGCAAAATCCGACCACTTTACAAGTTGAAACATTTTCAACGGAAAATATAAGGTCGGCAGTTGCAACGACAGTGGTCCTCCCCGTCCAATTACAACACATCAAAACGGAAGATGTGAATTGCCGACACAGAAGCTATCTATAATGAAAATTGAAACGTATACCTTACAATCATATATTTCAATATTTCTTTGCCAGGTGATTTTGGGAAAATTTCTTCTGAAACATTAGAAATTTTACCTGGCACTTTGACGCAAACTACTTTACTAACTTCACGTCACATTCCAAAGCGAAGGTCTAAAGTTTGTATAACCTTTATCTTTTTTTGTGCAGAGGCTGATTTCAGCCATTATAGCATGGCAATCCTCACCTATTAGTCAATTGCTTTCTGAACTACAGTTTTTGTACAGACTACTTTACTGTATTTCTTTAGAAACAAAGTCGACACTTACCATTTCACTACTTAAAATGTCCAAGTAATTAATACAACAGCTCACAGAATAGTACATGACATCCAAGGAAAGGCCACTATTTCCTCTCCAAGCTACTCCGCAATCCACAGCACGGTAAGTCCCTTTCATTCAAGGCACAAACTCATTAAGGCGATTTGTCAGCTTCAACTGTTAGGTCACTGAAGTATGCAGTTATTGCCTTCAACTTGCCATTCAAAAAGTTCTTCTCAACCTGGGACCATGGTTACAAATATAAATTATAATTTACAGTAGGGGTTCAAGGAAAAGTAAACCCAACCACAAACAGAAGCCCCTGTCTATATGGTTATGCACTAGTGGACCTACTTAAAGTGATGCGCGATAAATCCAAGCAAGCAATAACAAGAGAATCTTTCCAACAATGCAAAAAGACCAGGTGAAGAAAAAAAAGGGGAAAAACAGGTAAAAACAGTCTCCAAGAATGTGCATAAGTGTTTTGACTGAATTACGCATGCCAGCAAACGCATTTAACAATTTTACGTCAAATGTACCCATCAAAAGGTGCCACTAAAAGTGTAAAACACAAACAAAGTCTCAATTAAAAGACATCAATATCATTTCATCAATGTCATGTTAATCAACAGTAATCATGTGAAACGTACATATCAGAAGTGAAAGGTGTACCCATCACAATTTATTAACAATTGAACTAAAATATTTAGAAGATCTGAAAATTCCTAAAAAGGATCCTGCAGCGTCACTTCAAGTGATGGTCGTTAGGAGACGAAATTGCATCTCCAAATGCTATATTAGAAAAGGATCACATGTCCATGGCCATCCAAATGTGCCCTTAGCTACTGGGATGTGGAGAAGGAAAAGTGCATAACATTCTATTTGTAGCAATATCTAGCTATTTAGAGCAGAAGACACCCTGAATGAACCAAATTCAAAAGTTACCTCCAGGTACCATGGATGATCAGCAGATAGAGACAACTCTGCCAATTGGTTGAGATCAACATTTCTAGGCAGAAACATGACAATTCTGCAGGCAATTTTCTTTGCAGTGTTAAAGAGAAAATATCTGCACATGTTGAACCATTGTGTTAATACGAGTATTAAAGATAAGCCAAAATATATACCATAGATTTTAGTCCCCCTTTACTTCCCCTGAAAAAGAAAGAATGTATACCCATCATGTGGCTTGAGCATTGTCTTAATGTTGTATGACTTTACTTTAGCATAATCTGGTCCTCCCCAAGGAGGTGACAGGAAGACTGTGTCTGCCTGAACAGAAGAAACAAAGATCACATAGTGAGAATCTATCAGAGCAGAAGTTAGAGAGAACAAAAAAACATATTCAAAAGGTATTTGATGCCTTTCACAGCAACAAACTCCTACATTACGTTTTGATGACAATACTATATTAAACTTGAAATGAAACAAAATACACACAGGACATGCATTACGACAATGAAACAAAATTATGCAGATCTACAAGTTAGAACCACAACTGCAATTCAATTTTGGAAACATGAAGGGAGAGTGGAAAGACAAAAATCAGAACATTTTCCCACTCCCAATTTTTCAAGTCACAAAACTAAACTTGTCAGCACGCAACATCTCAGTTTTAATACCTTCAGATTTGGTGCCAAAATGAAAAAGTCCCCCTTTATAAAATCTATTTGGTCATCAACTCCATAGATGGCAGCATTATGATATGCATAATCAATCTTCTTTGCATCCACATCAATTGCAGTAACATGTTTGCACCTGAAAATATGCAGTAATATGAAAATCAAGCATTTATATATAAAAATGGAATATTAAATTTTTTGTCCAAAACCATGCATATTGATAATAACCCAGCTTCATGATGTACCACATACAAAACAAATACTACTTTAAAAAAAATGCAGCTAAAATCCTTTACTGTGTCAATTTTAATTAAGAAAGATATCAGACAAACGTCCAAAATATGAACTCCGAATGAATTTAATCTAATTGGAAAAAAAAAAAAAAAAAAAAAATTTAAAAAAAATGCAGCTAAAATCTTCCTTTACTGTGTCAATTTTAATTAAGAACAAGATATCAGACAAAACGTCCAAAATTATGAACTGCCGAATGAATTTAATCTAACATTGGGAAAAAACAAAAAAAAAAAAAAAGAAGAATCTTGTGACTAAAATTCTAGCAGATAATTATAATAGCGAGTGTGATTTTTTTACTCAGGAAATTTGAAATATGATGCTAATGGTGTTAATTATTTATCCCTCATCTAAATTTTTTCCACATTCTTACTTTCCAATTATCATAAAGGATCATACAAAACAATCAGGGACAGGCTTATCACTTATGGCAATAAGAAACTTCATCAAAAAAAAAAAAAAAAAAAAAGAAGATCTTGTGACTAAATTCTAGAGGTATATAATACATGTGATTTTTTTTTCTCAGGAAATTTGAAATATGATGCTTGGGTTAATTATTTATCCCTCATCTGAAATTTTTCCACATCTACTTCAATTATCATAAAGGTCATACAAAACAATCAGGGACAGGCTTATCACTTATGCAATAAGAACTTCATCAGGAAACAAGAAGCATAAAATATAAGTCAATACTCACATATTTGCGAATTGGATAGCATTTCCACCAACTCCAGTGAAACAATCAATTATAGTGTCACTAGCACAACGCAATGCATGATGCCTAGCAATAGGCTCTGGAGTTACAGAAAACCATCCTTCCTCATCCATTTTGATACCACTATCAAATCTGGAGAATAAAAGATACCTTTGGCACCAGTATTTACCAATATTCGCAGATAACTCTTCAGAAATACCTTGGCATTGAAGCTCTGCAAAAAGCAAATGATTCATGCAAAAGGAATCATTTTTAACAATAACAATACCAAGAAAATAGAAATTCAGTAAGCAGCAGTTAATTACTATCAACAGGTACCCAAATGGAATCCAAAGTACCAGTATAACTCAATACATTTCGCACCAACATTTTAAATTATTTACTGACTGCCAGTTGGCATTACTGCCTATCAGAAATCACTAGAATCCCATGCACCTTATTCCATCCACCAGTAAATTTTCAGGTCACTTTGGCAAGCCAATTAAGAACAACCTTCCAATATTGTATTTGCAGCTGGCACAAGTTCAGCCAAAACTCAAAATTCATGAAATAATCACTCAACAGAACACACAGCTATTTAATCCAATTACCACCTTCACATGAAGACAAGAAACAGAACTAAAATAAAAAACACAAGTAGAAGAACAAAGATTTTATGGTTCTCAATTAATCCAGATGGGTGCCCAAAAGCAGCAAAACCAACTACATATAATAAGTTTAAATACCATATGTTCTCATTCTCATTCAGTTGATTATGGCAAATATAAACAATATAATATAAACAAAAGGAAAAAATTAGGAAAAATTCACATAGATTTATAATGGTAAACAAGCAAAGAGAAAAGGAATACCTTTATAAGTATTGGATGATCTCCTATTTGCGCGCACTTTTCTTGCTTTCTTTTTCTGTTTTATCATGCCAGAGTCACAATGGGTATCTAACTTATCTGTAGCAGGATTGCCAATTTCTATTTGCTTATTATCATCCTTGGTAACTTTCTCAGCGATTGCAACTGTCAAGCTGCAAGCACAACTAGATGTCAGCCTTCAATATGGGCAAGAAGCTGGTCGCAGTGGCATTAACACACCATGCTCATAATTAGAAAATATCCATTATCCTCACAATTTATATAGCAGCAAGTTTCTCTACATGCACAGAGAATCTCATTTGCTGGTTCTATTTTTAATATTTCAGCCACAAATTACTACTGGCATCTCATTAAAACAGAGCTTCTAGTTCCCAATGATGACATATGTTGCATATATTTTAACAAGAATGAAATAAAAACTGAAATAAAAGCAAAAGCAGAATACCTTCCTATAGGCTCCTGCACATCCAACGATAAACATGATGTAGTTTCATCATCACAACTTGTACTGATCCCATGAAGTTCATCTTGACGCTCAAAATTGTTATTCTCAGTTTGTTTAGTCATTTCAAGCAAAGAGTTGTTCAAAGTGACTTCCAACTCCATTGAAACCTGATCAGATGGCTGATCTACCAATATAGCACCTTTTGATGGTTCCTCAAGTGACTTGAAATTATATAGCAAAGCACAAGAAATGGAAGGACTATCATTTTCAGTCACTTCAGCAATTACTACATTTTGTCTATCAGCGGCACCTTCAAAAGCTAGATGTTCCATACCAGTGGGTGGATCCCATGTGGAAGTACCAGTTTTGATGTTATGGAAGTAATTTCTCATGTAGAAAGAGTCCCAGTACACCCTCCAGTCTCCGAGATCATCATTGTAGCCATGATTGTCCTCTCCATTTTGTCCTAGAATTTCTGAGTTATAAGATAATGCAACAATTTCAGGATCTCCTGATTGCTCAGTACTGCTGTCACCACAAAACTTTCTACATTTTTCATGATCGAGAGCAACAGAGAAATCTTTCAGGCACTCATACTCCATCAAATTTCTATTAAGTCCTTTCTTATCATGATCAAGACTTGCATCTGTCAAGGAGCATGGTGGCGAAGGTGCAGCATCTGAATTTCCTGAACAAAGTCCTTTCATACTTTCATCGGTCAACAAAAAATCATTAAGTGTTACAATCTCGTCTTCCTGGCCATTTTTGGATAGTTTAAGAGATGTTCCATCAAAGACAGCACCAGATATAGTAGTAGTAGAACATCCAAGATCTTCACCAGCAGGACACCGAGAATCACTGGTTTCAGCTGCAACATCATAATAATATGATTCACTTTGGCCCAGCATTGACATGCAAGATAAAGAATTGCTTGTGTTATCATGCAAAACATTAGGAGATACAATCTCCACCTCACTCACTCTGGTAATTTCCATTTCTTCATCCTTAGCATCTTTATGACCATGAGAAGGCTTCAAACAAGTGCCTTTCCTTTTGGTTTGGTTCATTTTATTCCTAGTCTGCCAGATTGTTGATATTTTTGATGCACAAAAATCAGTAGTTACAATAAGCAGCATATAATTTAAAATATAATGATAATAACAACTGGATAATGACAATGACCAAGAATGGCATACTCTGTTATCTAATTGTTGTCACATTGAAATCAAAACAACCCAAATTTGCTGCTAGCACTTTAAATGCATTGGCTATAGCATTCTCGTCATTCAATAACATGACCTCACTATTTTGTTAAAAAGCTAACATATATTGGATGCCACGGAGCAATATATTTTCAAGAATTTCCTGTAAACTAGGATAACCTCAAATTTTCCCCAGTTGGGACCCTGTCAAAGGCTATAAAACCAAAGGCTTCAGTAGGACAGGAATCCTTCTATTAAATACAGAAATTTGGTTTGAACTTCGTTTATGGATATAATCTTAACAGCATATACATAGGCATTTTGTTCCTTTCAAGAAAATTAACAGAGAAAGACACTTGAGCCATACTGAGAGTGACATAAATTGGCTAGACAGAAACTCAATTGAAACCAAGAGCACACTTAAATGTTCACCAAAATGGATTAGTTTATGATTTGGTAATCTCCAAACAGAATGCTTCAGAACTATAATAGCAGGCATATCATGACATCACAACAATGCATCCCACATCTACCTGTATTATTGATTTCCATTTTTTCTTATGACTCCCTGAATGATAATTGCCAGTTACTTCAAGGAAATATTTGATTCCGCAGAAAGCTATTTCTTTTTTCTTTTTTAACATAAAAATGGAAAAGATACAGGTAAACATTGAACTCAATAACAAGCATCTTCAATTGAACCAAAAGACAACAGGTGCGACATTACCTCCTTATTGGACAGAAAGGAAAGGGGAAGCCCCAAGGCGTCCATTTGTTTAGTCAGTTCTATATCTTCTGGAGCTTCACTAAAATCTGGAAAAATTAAGGGGGAAAATTAGATGCAATAAAAATGGTTACCAAGTATCAAACACAAACAGGAAGTAGAAAAGAAATGCAGATACTACAAGAAGAAAATAGGAAGAAATGAAACCTAACCGCATGATGAAGCAGGGAAGTTCAAGCTTTTATCTTCACAAGCATGAGGAGATTTCTGCATTTGAAACCAAAACAGATAAAAATATATATGAAAATAGCCGCAATTGCCACCACAACTAGACAAGCAACTAATAAAGCAAGCCCTAAACTAGAGAGACAATTCTACTTCTGAACTAGAAAACCCAAAACGTACGTTGGTGGCCTCTGGAAACAGACAAACTTCTCGAGTCTCCGTTGAACCATCTTCCCTGTTGGGTTGCAATTTTAAGAAATAAAAAAAAAAAAAAAAAAAAAAGAAGATTAATGAAACCTAACCGGCATGATGTGAAGCAGGAAGTTCAAGGCTTTTTTATCTTCCACCAAGCATGAGTGAGACTTTCTGGCATTTGAAACGCTCTCAAAATACAGATAAAAATATAATAGTTGAAAATTAGCCCGCAATTGCCACCACATACTAGACACAGCAACTTCAATAAAGCAATGCCTAAACTTAGAGAGACAATTCTACTTGCTGAACTAGAAAACCCCAAAACGTACGTTGGCGTGGGCCTCTGGAAAAACAGGACAAACTTCATCGAGGTCTCCGTTGAACCCATCTTACCCTGTTGGGTTGCAATTTTAAGAAATAAAAAATAAAAAAGAAAAAAAAAAACATACATAAAAAATAAGCACCAAAAAAATCCTAACCTTTTTATAATAGGTTGTATAAAATTGACAGAGTTGCAGGAAGCACACAATATGTAGAATTTCTGTCTGAGCCTTGAAACATGGAACCTGAGTGCATCTAATGGACAAGACCTGCAAGTTTATCCATCACTGTTGCCAAAATTTTTTTTTGGTAATAGGGTTACAAAACTTAGTCAAAAAGAAAAGAAAAGTCTCAAAAAAAAAAAAAAAAAAAAAAAAAAACATACATAAATAAGCACCAAAAAAATCCTAACTTTTATAATAGGTTGTATAAAATTGAAAGTGAGAAGCACCATATGTAGAATTCTGTGAGCTTGAACATGGAACCGAGTGCTCTAATGGCAAGACCTGCATTTTCCATCACTGTGCCAAATTTTTTTGGAGGGTCAACTTAGTCAAAAGAAGAAAGTCTCAAAGCGACTCCACCGTCCTACTCAGACTTCAGTCGCCGGTAATTCCGCACCGCCACGTTCCGCATTTTATAACACCGCATGCCAGGCGAAGAAACGACGCAGTTTCAGCAATTTCGTGTTTTCGTCAGCTATAGGGTGTAGCTACTACTGCTTTGTTCCAAAGAAACAAATACTTAAAAGGAAAAACGATAGCGTTTCAGTCAAACATCTGATTAATTCGCAAGCGACGCCGTTTTTCTACCCTTCAATTCACTGACTCTAAAATACCCCTCCTTTCCTGTTGAGCCGGAAAAAGGAGAGAACGCTTGAGCAACAGAAGAGAAACGAGACGATGGAGGACGGAGAGATAGTGGAGGGAGTAGCAATGGAAGAGGAGGCACAATTAACACAGCCTAAGAATGAGAAGTCTCCTTACGAAATGCTTCGAGAAAGCAAAGCTTCTGTGGAGGAGATCGTGGCCCAGATTCTCTCCATAAAGAAAGAAAATAAGCCCAAATCGCAGCTCCGTGAACTCGTGACCCAAATTTTTCTCAACTTCGTTACTCTTCGTCAGGTCTCAAATAATCTCTTTATTTGGCTAGCATTTTCACCGTTTTCTTTTTCTTTGAATAATTTTATTTTCTTATCTAGGGTTTTATTTGCTCCTTTGTTTAGGCAAACCGTTCGATTTTACTGGAAGAGGATAAAGTGAAGGGGGAGACAGAACGCGCGAAGGCGCCTGTGGATTTTACGACTCTGCAGCTTCATAATTTGATGTATGAGAAGAGTCACTATGTTAAAGCTATAAAAGCTTGCAAGGACTTCAAGTCTAAATATCCTGACATTGAGCTTGTTCCGGAAGAAGAGTTTTTTCGTGATGCTCCAGAACATATTAAAGGCCCTGTGCTGTCTGATGATACTTCACACAATTTGATGCTCAAGAGGCTAAATTATGAGCTACACCAGGTACCATTGGAGTATCTTTGTTTTTGATTCAGTAATAAAACTTCGCAGGGGTTTTGTGATTGTCATTGAAATGCACACAGTTTAATTTTGGTTCTAACAATCAGTTACAATGAACTAAACAGATTGGAAGGAACAGATTAGTATAGAGTGTCTAATGTTTTCTCTTGTAAACTATGATTTTATTTTGATCAGGAAAATGTTAGGCTAGGAAAGCAAAATTTTTTGAAAATGCGGGACATACACCTTAGGAAATGCTTGAGAAGCACAATAGCATTTTAGCTTCTTTCGGTCAACGTAGCTTTGAAGCCAATTGACTCTTCTTTCGTTTCAATTTGAAACAAAAGTGAAAAATTATAAACTCTCCCCGTCCCTCTCCCCTTCTCTCTTTCTCTCTCTCCCCCTGAGAACTTGTTGAGTGAGGTTGAAGATGCTAATATATTATTTCAATCAGCGAAAGGAACTGTGCAAACTTCATGAGAAACTGGAACAACGTAAGAAAAGTCTGTTGGAGACCATTGCTAACCGGAAGAAGTTCTTATCGAGTCTCCCATCACACCTCAAGTCACTTAAGAAAGCATCCTTGCCCGTACAGAACCAATTAGGGGTTCTGCATACGAAGAAGTTAAAGCAGCAACACTCAGCAGAGTTACTTCCTCCTCCTCTTTATGTGATTTACTCACAATTCATGGCACAAAAGGAAGCCTTTGGAGAACATATTGATCTGGAGATTATTGGAAGTCTAAAAGATGCTCAAGCTTTTGCCCACCAGCAAGCCAATAAGGATACTGGTAATTGTTCATTAAACCTTAGCTTGGTATGAAGAATGTTTTATTTGAGTGATACAAGGAAATGCATTTCAAGTTCTCAAATTATGTGTTATTACAAATCTTGATTTAGTCATATTTTACAACACCCCTCTCCTCCTCCTCCCCCACCCCACCGAGTATGGGCGAAATAACTACTTCGCACTTGTAAATAATAACTCAGCCTAAATAAAAAAAATATAACAAAATAAAAGGCGAGTAGATTCAACTTGTGGTGTTTTTATTCTCTTAATTGTAGTACACTAAGCTAATCGCCTGATTTGTTTCAATGTTTCGAAATCTGAATTCTCAAAATCACCCCTCAAGAGTCAATTCTTGGGAAACAAATATCCCACACACACAGCAAACAACGCCTAAATATAACCAGATTCTAACGATCTCCGAAACTCCGGATGCAGATACCGTTGGAATCAGATCACTAGGGAATGCTCAGAGCATTTTGATCCCACCAGCAAAGCCAACTAAGTGATTACTGGGTACTTACGTTCAATTAAAACACCTTCAGCTTTGGTGTATGAAGAACTGTTTTTATTTGAGTGATATCTAGGAAATGCATTTCAATTCTCAAATAATTGATGTTGATTAACCCAAATCTTGATTTAGTCATAATTTTTACAACACCCCTTCTCCTTCCTCCTCCCCTACCCCACCACCCCCCCCCCCCCCACCAAAAAAAAATACCTCAAGATAGGACACAGAAAAAATATAGGGAAGCTAAATAACAGATGGTTTTATTTCAATGGACTAGCATAATCTACAAATGCAGAGAGTTCATATGGTTTGTGGAGGATGATGCCCCCCCCCCCCCCACCAAAAAAAAAACCTCAAGATAGACACAGAAAATATAGGGAAGCTAAATAAAGATGTTATTCAATGGACTAGGCATATCTACAAATGCAGAGAGTTCAAGGTTGGAGGATGATGCACCTGATGAGGAAGATGATGGCCAGAGAAGGAGAAAGCGGCCACGGAAGGCTCCAAGCAAGGAGAGCCTGGAACATGCTGGAGTTTATCAACTTCATCCACTTAAAATCATACTACATATATATGATGATGAGATTCCAGATCCAAAGTCCACAAAGCTCATCACTTTGAAGTTCGAATACTTGTTCAGGTTGAATGTTGTCTGTGTGGGGGTCGAGGGATCCCATGAAGGATCTGAGAATAACATCTTGTGCAACTTATTTCCTGATGACACTGGTGTCGAGCTTCCTCACCAGGTATGGATGATTGTTTTGATTATCATTAAACCTGCTCCTCTTTCTTCCCTCGTCTCATGTTTATGTCCCTTTCTTTTTCTTTTTGTTATGGTGCAGTCCGCTAAGCTCTTTGTTGGAGATGCACCTGCATTTGATGAAACCAGAACTTCACGTCCATATAAGTGGGCCCAGCATTTGGCCGGGATTGATTTCTTGCCAGAGATTGCACCATTACTTAGTAGCCATGAAACTGCAAACTGTGAAACAGTTAAAAGTGATGTTGTTGTATCAGGTTTATCACTATATCGTCAACAGAATCGGGTGCAAACTGTTGTACAAAGAATTCGTTCACGGAAAAGGGCTCAGCTGGCTCTTGTGTGAGTCATTTCTGTATCTTTGGAGTCATGGGTCATTAGCGGAAGACTAGACAATAGGGAATGGATACTTCAGTGTGTTAAAATCTGAAAATTAGCTTTTATAGCTTTGTTTGCTTGGCTAGGACAGCAGTTGGCATCTTTTTAGATTTATATAAAGTGGCTAATGTTAAGGATTTTTTTGAAGTTCCATTCTCCTCTACTTTCTTATGACATGTTTTTGTTGCTTCGTTTTTTGGGATCTCTTATTGATGTTAATTTTGGGAGCTTCCTTTTGGTCTTGTTTATTGTTGTGGAAAGGTATCCTTTATGTTGAAAATTTGGAATTCTTTCATTGGTTTACAGGGAACAGCTTGATTCACTTTTGAAGCTTAAATGGCCTTCTTTGAATTGTGAAAGTGTTCCATGGGCTTTACATACTCCCTTGTGCAATTTGCATGGTTGGTCAGTTGCTGGATCCCAAACTAACCAGGCTTCACCTGTGCCTGTCGTTGACACAGATCAAGTTGAGGAACCCATGGATGTTGATGTGGACAGAAGAACTGGTACTTCGAAGGAAGAGTCAGAGAGTGCAAGAGAGGATGGGGAACTCCCATCCTTAGTTGCTTCTGTTGTGAATGATATTAAGGTTACTCCATCAAAAATATCAAATCTAGAGCATACCAGGCATCTGGCTTTAATTTCAAAGAGCATTATCTCACCTGTTAGTAAGGGAAAATCACTAAGTTTCAAGAAATCTGATGAGGATTCAGATCTTTTGTTGGATAATGATAGTGATAAGGATGAGCTTGTACCACTTGAGCAAGAGATAGAAAATGAAGCTTGCCTTAAGATGGCTGAAAATCTGTGGGTGGATTATGGCGTTAAAGAATATTCTCTTGTTTTAACGGGAAAGGTGGATGCTGATGAGAGGAATGTTAAGTTAGAAGCAAAGGTATCTTAAGCATTGCTGTTTTCAGTTCATTGTTCATTGATCAGCTTTTTACAAGAGAGTGTCAGTTTTTGTTGTTGCAGATTAAAGTCAGCATGGAATATCCTCTGAGACCTCCTCTTTTCACATTGACTCTTCGCTCTTCTGTAGAAAATCATGACAAGGGTGATGGCTCTGAATGGTGCAATGAACTTCGTGCTATGGAAGCAGAGGTTAGAAATTGATGTCCTAGGATATCAGTACAGGGAATGACTGGTTAACTATATTCTTAGTGACGATTGACATTTAAATAAGCATTATTACCCTGCTTATGAGAATGTGATGGAAATGAAAATCCCCTCCTGTGGTTTCTGAAGATTGATACCCACTTCCCTCTGAGGATGAAACCAACTATAGAAACCTTTCATCCTTGTTATTTTTCCTTCATATAACCTTCATTCTAGATTAATGCACTAGCAATGAAGTTAAAAATTGGTGTCTTGTCCTCGTAAACCAAACAGGTTCTATAACTAACTGGAAAATGGTAGCAAGTGTTATCGAGTTGTAATTCTCATTGTAGTTTTCAAGCAATCTCAAGAGCAGTAGAGAACATTTAGCAAATTGCATATATATTCCATAATTTAGTGGGTATCAATTATGTATTAAGGATCCTGATAATTTGTCTTTTTGTGATTATGTGTTGTCTTGATTGCCACATTTGTGGTGTTATTGTCTTTTCTTGACATATTACTTATCATGTTTCTCATTATGATTTATAGGTTAATCTTTATATGCTAAGGATGCTGCCATTGGATCAAGAAAACCATGTCTTATCTCATCAAGTGCGATTCCTCGCAATGTTATTTGACTATTTCATGGATGAGGCATCTCTGAGTGAAAAAAAGACTACTTCTGTGGTTGATGTTGGTTTGTGTAAGCCCGTTAGTGGTAAGCTTCTTGCTAGATCCTTTAGAGGGAGGGATCGCAGGAAGATGATATCATGGAAGGACACGGAATGCACCTCTGGCTATCCATACTAACAAATAGAAACTCAACATGCACAGATGATCATATCAGCACTCATTCCTACTACTTGCCAGATGGGGATTGGAATGAACTACAAGAAGGTATGTGTCTTGGGTACAGGAACAATAGATGGACATTGCTTTTGCATTAGCATTGTTCCTGATTTCCTTTCCACTGGAATTGGTGGATCTGTTACAGGTGTGAATTCATGAATTTGGGACTTACAATTTTTGGAGGTCATGTTAGTGTAAGTTTGTAATATGCCCTGCGATACAGATTTTGGGCCATCATTGACCATGGTAGAGGATTTCGTGATGCAGTTTTCTACGCCAACTCAGACATGATTGATTTTCCTTATTACTTAAAGCACACATGGCGTTTCTAGGCAAAGTTTTAGATATTATCTTGTCATTTGGTAAAAAGCTCGAGTTAGGCATAATTTGATGCAATAGCCCCACAATGTTTTGGAGATAGTAAACTCAACTTAACCCCTTGAATTTCATGACCGTGTTAAGCTGAAAACTTATGTATATGACATTAGACTGGAACTTCTTATATGTTTTATCGATGTCTTGTACTGACAGCAGCTTTTGTGGCTTTGTCTTCCATCATCGTCTTGTGGCATTGTGGCCAAATAAAATCTTTGCTTTTGTTCTCAAATAATAGCAAGCACTTGCCCCACACCTGCCCCCCAACGGGGGGAAGTTGGCATTTGTGTTCTGCAACTTCACCGCTGGACGGTTTCAAAATCCCCACAGTCGGTAAATAATAGGAAAACAAAATAAAAATCACAAGGCCTTAAAGCAAAAACCATTTTGTTGCAACTTATAAATGGAACTGCTTCAAACCGTTTTGAAAATGCTTTAAAACATGTATGGAACTACAAAAGACGAAATTGCTATCTCATCCCTTCCACTGCTATGCCTAACCAGGAAGTTCTGAATAGAAGCAAATAGAGAACAGATATAGGAAGATTTAATCTACATCAACGGTAAAATTATCATCTCCTCCATTGTGAACTTGCATTTTCTTAATCTACAAAAAGTAGCACTTCTCTCAAATATGTACAGCCACCTACCATACATAATTTTCATCTGTATAATCACAACCATGCCTGCACTTTACCATGGACCTGTCTGAGTCCTCCTTAAGCATCGTTTCTTGGCTCCCTGCTCTTGATTCATCATCTCTAATACCTGTAATAACATAAATGGAATCAAAATCAAACATCAACCTCTGCTTCTTGTTCAAATTTTTCATATGAAACATTAATTGTAGCTTGTATTGTTTAAGAGGAATGAATTTTGTGTAGTTAACTTCGTACTCTTCAAACTCCAGAATCTCAAAATCAAAATAAATGATAATCAATAGTGTAGATTGCAAGAAATTTAAGTCGACCTTTTGTAACCTTAAAAGTTTCCAGTTAATACAGACTTAATTCACGACAAAGACAAAGTTCCCTTATTATGTAACTATTAAAGGCAACTGATTTTCTTTTCCTGGAAAATAGACATGCATAAAGCTATGCATACAGAACATTCATGTACTGCCATCAAGCCATATATATATATATATATATATATACTTGCATTATGTAACCTAACCAGGAAGTTCTTGGAATAGAAGCCAAATACGAAGAACACATAATATGAGGAAGATAAATGTCACAATCTACACTCAACTGTGTGGATGTAAAACTTAATCATCTCCCCTTCCATACATTGTAGAACTTGGCATATCCTTCTCACCGATCATCATCACTATTGGCAACGCAGTTCGCCACAAGTTTACATTTTTCTTAATGCTAACAAAAAGTAGCACTTCACCTCATCAAATATTGTTACCGAGCACTATCACCCTACCAATAACATAATTTTCATTCTGGAGTATAATCAGAAACAAGCATGCCTGCACTTTACCAATTGGGACCTGGTTCTGAGAGTCCTCCATTAAGAGCATCGTTCTTGGCTCCCTGCCTTCTTATTCATCATCTCTTTTTAATACCCTGTAATAACATAAAATGGAATCAAAAATCAAACATCAACCTTTCTTGCTTTCTTGTTCAAATTTTTTATATGACAACTATTAAATTGTAGAGCTTTGATATTTGAGTGAAGAGCAGCGACATGAATTTAGTGTGTAGTTTAAACTTCGTACTCTTCAAACTTCCAGCGAATCTCAAAATCCAAATTATAAATTGAACTTAATTCAATCTAGTGTAGATTTGGCAAAGAAATTTTAAGCTTCGAACCGTCTTTTTGTAAAACCTTAAATAGTTTCCAGTTAAAAACAGGACTTAATTAATTCACGGACAATAGACCCCAAATAGATTCCCTTATATGTACACTATTTAAAGGGCCAATACTTGATTTTTCTGTTCCTTGGAAAACTAGGACACTGCATAAAAGTCTATGCATTACAGCAACATTCCACCTGTTTTATCTTTGCCATCAAGACAACATATATAATATTGTAGTATATAAATGCTCGACCTTCTCCATAATGGAAACAAATTTACTTTATATACTTATTCCATAGGCCTAGAATGCAGAAATTCCCATAAAAAAAATGGCTCATTCGCCTGTAACAAGCTTCTACGACTAAATAGCAGTGACCATCCCAGTGACGTTTCTATGCAAAGCGGATGCAAGCAGAGCAATTCATTCTCATTCAATCTCCTTTCTGGTTTGCAGAAAAAACTTCAGCTGTTTTACGAACTCAAAACAAGCGCAGGAAGGAAACAGTCAATAAAATAACAAAGAGTGGTTTCACTCCTTCTAAACCACTCCCACACAAAATAAAAAAATTAATCCCCATTAAGTACTCTCCCCTATTTTTGTCGGTTTTATGAACCTCTTCTAAGGATATATATATATATATATATATATTCCTAGGCCAAGAATGAGAAATTCCATAAAAAAATGGCTGTAACAGCTTCTACGACAAATAGCAGTGACCATCCAGTGACGTTTCTATGCAAGGGAGCAAGCAAGCAATTCATTCATTCATCTCTTTTCTGGTTCAGAAAACTTCAGTGTTTTACGAACTCAAAACAAGCAGGAAGGAAACAGTCAATAAAATAACAGAGTGGTCCTCCTTCTAAACACCCACACAAAAAAAAAAAATCCATTAGTACTCTCCTATTTTTCGGTTTTATGAATCTCTAATAGAGTCTAGCAGGAGGGCTTGCCACAGATTGATCCCCTCACATACTGGCATTTTTTTTTTCTTACAAGCAACTAGTTTCATTTGTCTAATTCACAGTAACACTTATGATTCTAAGAAATTCAGTATCTATTTATGCACATTATAACTTTATTGCAGGGCAAAATCTTTTATCAGCAACTCATAGATATTGTGCTCGTACAAAAGGCAGCATGATTCACATGACATGAAGACAAAAATATAGGTGCATAGAAACATCCCTTACTAAAGGTTATTCCTTTTTTCCTTTCCATCTTGTAAGTTGGTAATATAAAATCATTGATAATGAGATATTGTGCCTTCATTAATTAACCAGAAGATATTTGTTTTCGCACATGCTCAAGATCGTTAGTTATGTTTATTGGAAAGAATAAATTGATTAGAACCAATTATAAAACAAAAGAAAGCACAAACAACCATACCTGATTTTTCTGCATCTCCATGATTTCTGTCTGCAGCAGCCAATCAACAGTTATTGATGGTTAGTAAAAGATTCATTTCTTTTTTTTTTATTTTTTCAGAAAGGCACTGCTTAAGCACATGCACACCATCAAGTCTGGAGCAGAAAAGAGAATACCTGTTTCTTTCGCAATTCTTGGTTCTCCTCTTTTAACTTTGCAACTTCAGCTTCCAACTCCATAGTATAAGCCTGTCAGCAGCACGAAAATTAAGGAATTGAAAATATTGCTCATATGTTGACAAGCAATGTCACAACAATTTTAGTCTTCTAAACAAATCAAATTTATAACCCTTTGTTATGAACAATTTCAGAAAAAGCATTGAGGCAAATGTACAGAACTTAATTAGGTTTCCATCAATTTTGGGCCAAATTCAGGTTCAGTTTCATGTTATGATCCTTAAAACAAATGCTCCATTACCTTGTGACAAACTGGATCATTATACCTTCTCATGACCTTGACTTCTCAAAATCTTTCATCTCTTCTCAAGTCAGATCGCTATGAGATTACCATTCTGCCGCATGATCTTTCATGAAGTTTTGGCATGCAGCATGGCCATAGATGATAAAAGTAGAAAGTTAATGAATGAATTTCACTAGCAAAATTCATGTCACAACAAGATGAGTTTCTTGTTCTTTTTATTTTCCCAAAATCTTGTGAAATTGTGTAAATTTTCCAAACCAAGTGATATGGACTGTCACAAAAATTCACTTCTGCATACACATACAAGGAGAAAAGAAATTTTATTCCTTCCCTATTTCATCTTTGCATCAGTGAAAGCACGTCAGTAGGCAAAGCAATTATTGACTTTCCTATAATTTAAGTCAATAGAACAAGGCAGCTATCTTTTCACTCAAGCTGGTATATGCTCCTCCTGCCCCTCTTTTATAGCATCATTACTATGATACCATAACAATTATCTACTACTTATCCCAATCATGGTTTGTTCATTGAACTCTTAAGATATCAAAATTGCATCCATCTGGATGTGTTTCAACTTTCAAATGAATTAGGTACAGGTTCAACATTCTTTAATACAAGTTAAAACAGTAAAGCACTCATGTTATCTGGAACTGCATAACAAGTAGCATATCGAACGAAATATTCACCTGCTTGCGAGCCCGTGATCTTGCAGCTGACTCTCTGTTCTTAATCATTCTTCTCTGCCTCCTTTCAACCACCTTCTCCACAGCACCAGTTGCTCTTCTTCCTCGTAAACCTCCATTAAAGACATAGGGAACTGGTGATACTGAAGAAGTATCACCGTTGCTCTTTGTGATCCCATCCGAGGATAGCTGGTTTGCAGGTGATCCTGTCGCCACACCTCCTAATCCAACCATTCCCAAACCTCCACCCTGCATCAAACCACCACCAAGCGCCTGATCTCCAATTCCCATGATTCCACTCCTAATTCCAGGACTAGTCTGCAGAGGCATCTGTGTCACATATCCCAAAGTAGGCTGCTTAGGAAATATTTGCTGCTGCTGCTGCTGCTGCTGCTGCTGCTGCTGCTGTACTTGTGCCTGATTTGATCTGACCCCATTAACGTTCAAAGGTAAATTCGAGGAATGCATAGAAATCTGATTAGTATTATTACTGTTTAATGCCAGAACCCTATTCTGCTGAAACCCAAGTCCAAAACCAGAATTATTCCCTGACCTTGCCAGATCACCATAAAAACCACCATTAGCATTAATTTTCCCAGCTATTTGAGCATCTTCTCTCACCACCCCAGCTCTCACCAAAAACTCCTCTAGAGTCATCTCTCCCAAAGTCTGCTGCCTCTGGGGCACATTAGCTACTCCACCTCCAGTGCCACCCCCATTCACATATTCCTTTGAGATGTCTTTCCACACTTCATCCACTGTCTTTTGGCTAAGAGTTCGAGGAAGTGTCAACGAGCCCTGGCGCTGCAGACTCTCTTGAGGCCCAGTAGAGGCGGCTACCATATTCTGTGTCTCCTCTGCAGTCCATATGTTTTTAAGTAGCTCATCCATATTCATTGATCCAAAATCCTTTCCTATTCCCCCCATGGTACTCTGTAACTCATCAAAGGTCAAGGAATAGATCGATGTCTGCCTGGCCAAAGGGAAATTCCCCGGTAGTCGGCTTCCCCCACCGGTGTCGGACACAGGGTCATTGGTGAAGTTCTTGAAGTTGAGATTAGTCCCCATTTCGTATATATCTGAATAAAACAGTGTCAAACAGCTAAAAAAGAATCCGATCAACTCAAACTAGCCTTACTAATTTTTCAATTTTCTCTATTCCTCTTCAATTCAGGTTTACATTAAAAAAGAATCAGACAGTCCACTCAAACTTCAAAATTGAATCCAATAACAAACTTAAATTTCTAAAAAAAATGGATCTTAATTTTATTAAATTTACATTGCATATCCAACCAGAGTATCACAGCAACATACACCAAAAATTCAAAACACTAGAAAATTCAAAACCCTAACGTAAGACACTTCCAAAGGTAGAAACTTCCATCAGGAAAAAAAAATTTAATAGAGAAGTAAAGAACTTCCAGGAATTAACTCAAAAAACATAGACCATAGACGCTCTGGAAAACCCTCAATCACGCAAAATTGTAGCCTAGGAATAACAGAGATCACACACAGACTACCAAGGAAGAAAACAGTGGGCAAATACCCAAGAAGGAAGGAGAGTAATTTTACCCTTTTCCAGAAAATATATATATAATATTCTTGGTGATTTTGGTGTCTGTTGTGTATGCAGTTTTTTGGTTCCTTCTTCTTCGCGTACTTAGGGCTTGCTGAATGCGCCAAGTGTCGATTGTCTTTCAATTTTTTTAGCTTTTAAAACATGGCTAGTCGTTACAGGCTACGATTTTTTTATTTAATCTGAACATTTTAATTTGGTACTCTATTACTGTATACGTCCGAATTTATAATTAATTACTATTAGTGGGCCATCTCGCTTTGGAAACGTGGGCCAATCAGCATGAGTTAGGAGACTATGATGTAACATATGGCCAATAATGGAATGCAAGGTGGGATAACAGGAGCCGTCCACGTTGCTTACTGGGAGATAAAGTGATTCATGTTTATGCTGTGGTGTGGAGTACGGTGCGCGCACATGGGAACTCATAGGGCATTTTCGTCAAAAACATCGATGTTTATCCGTTTCATGCACGTGAAAGCTAAGTGCCGACAATTATAAATGTCCATAATCTTTCACCGGCTTCTGAGGTAGCCAGCGGCCTCCAGTGTCGGAGTTTGTTCTATTAGACGAAAATGCCCTTGCTCGTTTGACTTTGTTGGCAACCCAGATTTATGGTAATCACTTCCGCCCTCGTTTTCTTTATAGGAGCGAATAATATTTTAAACTATTATATTATTTTTATTCTTTACGTTTTCCAATCCATTTAAAAATTCAATTAGCAAAAATAATACGATAGACTGTATAACAAGGATAATCTCCTGTTAGCTCATTAAATTTTTAAAAATTTTTATAATTAAAAGGAATTCAAAACTTCACATTAGTGTGAAGACTAACTAAACTACACCGGTTATTATTTTATTTTATATGTTTTTTTCTGAAATATAATAATTAAATTATCACCTTATCCTGAATTAAACCTTTAGTAAATAAAATTAAAATATTACTTATTTTGTTTCACTTTAATAGTAATATTTTATTTTTTTTTATAAGAATTAAGAAAATAAATGGAATACATTGATTTTCTAAAACACACAATATAATGCCTAACTTATCTCCTTAAAATTAAAAAATCCTCGTTTAATTTTATTACAAAACCGATGCTAATTTTATCTCATATTAAAGCACTACCGTTAGAATAGCACTTCCATTCCATTTTTTTATACCTTGATATATTTAGTTATGCTTGTAGTCAAAATTTTAATTTAACTAAAATTCAAATAATGAGAAAAATAAATGTAGACATAAAAATAAATTATACCTAATAAATATAGATAAAATTGAAAAAATTAATTAATATATTCTCAAAATCTTAAAACAGAACAAAGTAAAATATTTATTTATTTCTATTTAAATGGAAAGGACAGAGTAACTTTTAATTTTTCACTTATCCATTTGCCAATTGCATTGGTTATTGAATAAATAATTATAAATTGGTTCATTCAATGCTTCTTCCTATTAGTTCTTTACTTTTTTTTTTTTTTTTTTTTTTCTTCTTACCTATTAGTTCTCTTTACTTTTTTTTTTTTTTTTTTGTTATGTTTACTATGACATTTTAAAAAATCAAAGTAACATTAGTTATCTTTATTTTCAACTTTACCCCCTTTTTTAAATATTGCATTGTTTATATTAAAATGAGGATTAATTTTAATCTGTAATTTAATTAGTTACCTTTTTTTTTTTTTTTTTTTTTGTTATGTTTATATGACACTTTTAAAAAATCAAAGTAACATTAGTTATTTTATTTCAACTTTACCCCTTATTTAAATATATGCATTGTTTGTTATAATTAAATGAGGATTAATTATCTGTAATTTAATTAGTTACCTTTTTTTAGAATTGAAGGGATTGAGTCATTTTCCTAATTATCATGAAAATTTTAAAATTGTCATATTTAATGAAACGAAAGATATAATAATTTAGTATATGAATATAAAGGTATGATAGAAAAAATAAAAAGAAAAATATAGTTTAAACATATTAAATAAATTTATTAATCTATATGCTAGTCAAATAAAAACAATAATTACGAGGATGAGAATAATTTGATAGTTGAAAAATACAAATTACCGTATATTTAGACAGACTTTAATTAGTTTAAAATCTAACAATTTACATTTAAATATAGTCATAGAAAATCATATATCAATAACAAAATTTAAGTTCTCTTTTACAACTTTATGCTCTAAAAAATATGATTTATATATATGCGGTATACAAATCAATTCTAAGAAGCAAATTACTCTCAAGATTACAAAATATAATAATATTGATACTAAAAATTAAATATAATAATATTGATACTGAAAATTAAAGTGAATTTAAATAATATAATAAATCGATAATTTCATTTTTTACAAATTCATAGACTCTCAAGCAGTTTGATTTGAATGTTTTTTATTTTTCCTGAAAATATGCACATTTTCAATTTGAATCCATGGGAACATTGACTAAAGAGGGCAAACTATACTTGCCTATTTTGGAAAGTGAAACATTTATTAATATACTTAGTATTTTATTCAAAATGTTTGAAATTGAAATATTTATAGGATAATACCAATTTCCTGATTAGGAGGGGTGGGTTGACCTATCTTGTGTTGAACAATCAGTGGTTAAGGAATTAATGAGATGTAAGCAATTTAGCATTCTAGAAGAGTTATTACCAAAATTGGTAGCAGATAATCTACCTACTTTCTACCTGCGAAAAGGATAAGGATCCTCTCCTTGAAAAGTCAAAACTAACCCTATTTTGTCTTCATCCGAGATTCCGATCATCCACTCGGAATAACTCGCCGGCGCTACTAGGCTTGGCTTTCCGATCATTTACTGTTACCAAATTACTATTCACTCCTTAGCTTAGCTAAAGACAAAAAAAGGACAACTTTTTCTGTTCCCAGGATAATACGGCGGTGTATGCTGTATTTTCGAGGTCAATAACAAACATTTCATCAAGATGGTAGCTTTTATTTTTTTTTATTTATTTTTTATTTTTTTAGGAAAATATGGTTGAGTTAATACTTCTGTAAGGTAATGATATATTTATTATACTTTTTTTCTGATATATATTTATTATATTTCTATTGAAAATATTTTATTTCTATCTATATAAATATATATTTTTTTTTGAAAGGATATAAATATATAAAATTTGAAGCATATGGACAAATCTAAAATATTAGTTTACTAGTTTTGGATTGTTTTTTTTTTTCATTTAAAGGAAGTTATTAATAATATCATTAATATTATTATTGATCGAGTGAAATTAATATCACTAATAATATTAATAATATGTTTTGAATTTCTAAAACTTAATAGAATTAGTAATATCACTTAATATTTTTGAAAATATTTTACCTTTTTTAGCAAATAATAAAAATTTTCAGTTTCTAATTAATGAAATTATTCTGTATTTTCATTTTATTTTTAAATTTTTGATTGTTTTATAATTTTTTCTTTTAATTTAAACAGTAATGGAGCTAAAATAATATAATTTACGATATTAATAACATTTTTTAATTTTAATTAATTAATTGGTTAATAATATCAATGATATTCTTTCATGCTAATGAAATGTTTAGATTTTTTATGTAATTAATTAAACTAATAACCAAGAGCTATATATTTCAGTTTATTAGATCTAAAATTTATTTATTTCAGATAATAAGAAATAAATATGTTTATTTGAACTAATAAATTATTCAACAATTTGTTCTCGATATCAATCTTAATCATTTAGATAAAAAACATAATAGATTCAAATTTCAACATTTAAAATTGACTGAATACATAATTTAAATCATGAAGTTTTTTTAAAAAAAAATCTATGGCATCCTGAATTTTAAAATTGACATTTTGTGGCACCCTAAAATTTATTTTTTATAATAATCTCTCATTCAATTATGCTAGAAATACCAAATTTTAAAGGTTTTTGACTTCATATTTAAATTATTGATTTGATACGTGGTAAATATAACTTTTGATAATTTTAACATTTTTCAATTATCCAATAAATATTTAATCGATTCAATTTTATAAATTGAAGTGTTTAATAAATCAATTAAAATGTATAACATATATAATTTTATAAATTAAAATATTTAATAAGTCAAATTAAAAATTGAAGATGATATAAAGTTTTTTTTATAAAAAAATAAAAAGATAAATTTATATATATTGAGTCATTTAAAATTAAACCCAAACAAAGGATGTTAAGCCTTATAAAGAGAAAAAGTCTTGTGTAAATTTGTTACTTTATAAGAGCTGAGTCGTTTTCACGTACTAAAGTCCAAAAAAGGAAAAAGGTCACAGGCCACTGACCATTTTGTGGAATTTTAGAAATATGTGACGTGGGGCATTGCACTTGGCCTAACGTCCATCTATACGAAAAGACAACAAATAATAACTATTCATCTCCGCGTGAGAACACAATTCCACTATATATCTCCTAAGTGAAGTGAAAAAAAAAAGAAGGCCCACGAGAGGCCATGTTTAAGGTGAAAAAAAGCAACATCTGTTTTGCAATTATTGAACCAGTATTTATGGCCATAGCACTCTGAGATTGGAAGCAAAGAAAGAGCGACACATGTCCTCCTCCCAAGTTAACTGAAATAGACTATAAAGTCTTCAATATTATATTATTATTATTAATATAAAAATTGAGAAAAGGAAAAAGAGCGTGTAAGATGCGACAATGGAATGGAGCTGCAGGCCCTTTTTGTATATAATGAATGCTTTAGAGGCAGCAATGGCCATGGGCACCAATCGCTTTTGTATGCTTTTTCATGGAATATTAATCTTATAGTTATGATCGGATATTTTTGGATTGAAAGTAAACAGGATAAGTTGGGTTTCAATTTTTTAACATGAGCATGATTACAGTGAAAACAATATCTTTATTTCAAGTATTAATTTCCGCTTTTCTTAATAATTCTTTTTGAGAAAGAGAGTTTTAGATTCCAACTTGACATCCACTACTAAATAACTTCAATTTTACTACTAAAACTAAAGCAACGACTTGTTTTTTTACAATCCTCAAGTACTTATTATACTGTTAGATAAATTAAATTTAAGTTCTTTTTTATTAGTGGTGAGAGATGTAAGGAATATGAGCAAACGTGTCAAGCAGTAAATGGATAAAAGGTTAAAAACCACGGAATCCAGGGTTTAGTGTTGGCAGCACCATATCCATCAAAAAGCCCAATAGCAATAGCCAAAACATTTTGGACACTTGTTGATAAATCGAGACACGTGGACTGAAAATATGCATGCTCCAACAATAACATCCAAGTTGATTGCGATTCATCTGGTTCCCTACAAGAAAAGAAACACATTAATGCACAACATAAAAATTACAAGATCTCATCACACGTGTCTCCGCCGTGTGAATCTCCGTCTCAAATCCCACGACTCAAAACGACCAAAAGTCGCCGTATGACATTTTTTTAACGGGCTTTTATTGAATTAGTTCAAAACAGGCCCAGGAACATTTGGATCTATGTTCAGATCTCAATCGAACTATACCAAGTTCATTATGATATGCATAAACTCTGCTGCTATGTTGCACGGACGGACGGAATCGGAAAGGAGGAAACGTGAAAATGCGGAAACCATAAGGGAAAACAGATACGCAGATACTCAAAAACGTCCATGGGCTAGGAGTTTCCGTACGTCATAGCTCCACTGCTATGAGCCTAATCATAACTTTAGTTCCGAAGAGCTCTCAATTGTACAGTAAGGTTGCTAATTGCAAATCTGTTCATAGAAACCACATACAAGAATCGCCAAATATTGCATTTTGAAGATACCAATCTTTGCTTCTAATTACTGCGAATGTTATTTTGGAACATACAAATTGAAGATATTTTAGAAACTACGAACAAAACAGAAAATTCCTCGTGATACAATTATATATATGGTTAATTAATTAAGTGTGCTACCTTCCATCAAATCTGGCTACGTCGGCGGAAATGTCTGAGAATAAAGCTGTCTGCATATAGTGGATAGTTCTTCCTGATAAGACCCTTTATGCATTTCCAATAAGAGAAGTCAACCAATTCTCCATCTTTTCGAACTATAAACAAACATCGCGACCTTTCAAAATCAGGATGATTCCGAACCTAAGTGGTAGAGACAAAAGACTCACGTCAGGCATAAACTTTAGAAAGAGAAAGCTAGAATCACAATTAACAACTTATTAAAGATAAATATGAATTTCTACAGCTTGAAAAAGTACAGCAGAAGTGTCCCTAAACATCAGCAGAAATCACAGATAATGATTTGATTTGGAGCCAATGGCTTGATAGAAAAAAATTAATCACAAATTTCAGGGACAAGAACTCAGCCATGAATAAAAGAAAAGGTATGGCATTGTAAGTCATGCAGCATCCACAAGCATCAGATCCCTGTCCTTGTGTCTCTTTAGCTCCATGGCATTGATCAATAAGTGAGAACGCCCTTCAAAAATGAATATGCTATGCACACGAAAATCAAGTGTGGTACTTGGAAATAAATGAGGTACCACCCTTGAGGACATAGCATTACTCCGTTATCACAGGATGGAGATTAAATTCCACTAAAGCTCTTTGAGATCATAATCCAAACGACGTTCTCTCATAGCAGCATGTCTTTGTTTCATGTGAGGCATCGTGATAACCAAGAAAGAATCAAGGAAAGGAAGTAAAGAAAAGTAACAGATCTTCAATAAAAAAATGAGGGAAGAATGACTAGGATGGTTTCACCATGTGGTTCCTAGACCTTTATGTGTCCTAATTCGGAAGTGTGATACTTTGGAGGTAGGGAGTGTTAAATGGGAAAGAGGCATATACCTAAGAACTTTTGAGATTAATGGGGATCTAACCTTTGAACAGAGCATAATAGAGACGAAAGATTCATATAGCAGATCCCAATTGATCTAGGATTAAGGCTCCTTTGCTACGATCACCTGTGCTTATTTATTTATTTATTCTTATGTATTATTTATATAAAATTTTTATGTTTTACCTTTTCTTGCTATTATATACTTGAGTGGATATAATGACAATGTATTCCTATAGCCGACACCAACTAAATGGAGATTAAAGCTTTATTGCTGCTGTTCTTTTCAATAAAAAATAAAAATAACAAAGAGGCAGAAAATCTGTCACTAAGACAAAATTTTCGCTGGCCACCAGGCAGGCTGTGACAATCCAAGATGTTGGCTAAATGGTTAAGCAGAATTTATATGCACACTCTTCGTAACACCCAGACCCTAAATTTAAAGTCTTATCAAAGGTTCATCTCATATAATAGACCACACTCCCTTTTTATATACACAAACACACATGTCGATGCACACATGCACATTGTACTTTGGCTGTTGAGGATAAGACTGATCCAAATGTCATTAACTGAAATCAGCAGGTAAGCAGAACGTATTAAAGAAATTATAGAACCGAGGGATACCACTGACAATGTCCCCCAAAAAACATCCTATCATGCAAATTGGAGAAGATAGCAAAAGAAGCTTACTGTAATATAATCAATTCCACATCCAATCTTCTTTTCATACTCCGGATGATAAGGAAGCAACTTCTCAACAATGGTTCTCTCATGCCCTGGGCTTAATCTATCCCCATTTTCATATCTGCAATGAGAAATCCTACGTGGATAAGTTGATAACTAGCAAGTGGAAAAAAAAAAAAAAAATAAACGGCAAAACATATCCACAAACACATATATACACTAAAAATATGACTGCTAATTTCTTCATGACTGGTCTTCATGGAAGACAAGCATAAATAGCTTCAACAACCCCAGCTTTTACAATGGCAAAACAGACTGTAATGCCACAAGGACAAAAATGCCAGCATTTGGAGTTGGCAATTAAATCTAAACCATGAAAATTCAGATAGAAACTACAACCATCAAATCCAGGGAAATTGAAAATAGAGGTTGATTGAACAAAAAGCTACCAGAAGATTAGCAAAAGAAAAAAGAGAGAGAAAGAGAGATTGCAATCTCATCCATACTTGCAGAACTCAACAACCATGCTATTTCTACAGCCATTCGAAATTTACAGGAAGTATCTCCCAAAAACAATATTGCGGTGATCAGCCATTGTAGCAAAGATATCAGAATGGGATAAAACTAATATTTACAGCAACAGCACTAATTAATGAAAGTTAGTAGACATTATACTAATATGTTCACAAATAAAAAAAGACCAGAGCTACATGGCAAAGTATTGAGCATTCAATTGAATTCCAGATAAACTGGAAATTGCAGTAAAAAAAAAAAATTTAAAAAGCAACAAAAATTGGCTGCACAGGTACGAAAGACTAGAGAATCATTTCGTTGAAATATCCAGCACAAATTTTCACCAAACTATTCAATGTGAAATTACTTACTTGCCAGAGTGAAGAATCATTCTAACAAAGCCGACAAGAGGAACAGTATCCTGCAAAATCTGGTCCTCCCAATCGACCCATTCCTCATCATCCTCTTCTTTATAATCTCTCTCCTCATCACTATCCTCTTCGTCTTCAGAAATTCCACCTAACTCCTTCCCTGTAGGAACAATCGGTTTCCTCAGCCCGTCGGATCCAGTCTTTAGCGCACGTATGGGCTGACTAAGCGATGTCGTTTGATGAAATCGGAAAGATAAGATCATGGGAAAGGAGTAGATAGAAATAGGGTTCGAGCGGCTCTGCAGGCATGGTGGATATGGTTCAGGTAACGATGCCATTGTCATGCCCTATCTCTCTGCTGTTAGTTGCTAGTTTATTGGCGCTATGCTTTCGCTGCTCAACTTTTCAGTTTTCAGGTCTCATTTGGGTATGGACTGTGTAGAAGAAAAATTGAAGCAGTTAACGGTCTTGCTACTTATCATCACTCCATCGGTCACCAGTGGAGTGCTGTGCAAGTGGAGATCATGACGGATAAAAAGCTAAATAGTTTAAGGTTGGGCTTTATTATTTCTATTTTTGGGTTAAGAATCTGGCCTCAACCACTTTCATCTTGGGCCACAGCCACTCAGCCAGCCTTTTAATTACTTCCGGTTCAATAAGGTTGCTATGTTTTCCATGCTGTCGTTCCACCACGGCCGCCTGGAGTTAAGAAACGACAGAATTTATCCTGTCCCGACCTTGTGTAACTCAAAAACGACACCGTAGAATATCGTTTTTCAATTGGGTTTGCATTTTCGTCTTCCGTTATGAGTGATGCATTTTCGCCTTATGTTATTTCAGTGATTTTAATTATGTTATTTAATTTATAAGTTTGCAATATTTATCGGTAACAAACAATTGAAGATAGTAATTAATAAAATATAAATAAAATTATAAAAACGATTAATAGTTAGATAAACAATTTGATTTTTGTACTCATGTTATTTTCTACACAATTTAAATAAAAATATTCATAAATTAAGAATTAAAAACTTCAGAATAATTTATAAAATTTATTTTTATTATAAAAAAATATTCACTCAACAGTGAAAATAATAAATATATTTATTTTAATGAACAGTGTCGGTCACGTACCGTGTCGTACCACGGGTCAAGTTCAACGCAGACCCAGGCCAGGCCCAGCCAAGAGGACCAGGTTTTCATGGACCGGGATTCCAGTCGTGAACCACACGTTTGAAATTCACGTCACAAAGGACCAGGCATATTTCATGAGACCATCCGTAATCAATTAAAGCTGCTTAGTTCCCAGTGAGTTCAGACCAGCACGCACCACCATGAGACTCGCATAATTCCGTCCTTGAAATCACTGTACCCTCTCTCATCCTTCAACACGTAGTTTACACCTTGAGATCGCGAGCACTTTAGCGTCACTCCATATCCGTACCTATAAAATCCCGTGCATCACACGCACTCATAAGATGTCGGATATGATTTCGTTCTTTCTATAGATCTCCGCCGACAGAAAAGAGGGTCGCCAAAAGGCAGGCCCAGAAGCCCCTCTGTCTCGCTATCTTTCTACACGTTTTTTCTTTTAAAAGTCAGAAATGATTAAAAAATGCTTAGAGATTCCAGTTCATGCGAGCAAAAGGATGGCGTTGATCGCACTCCATTCCCAAGAAACCCCCCAAAAAGAGCAATTTTTTTCTTTTTTAAAAATAAATCCAATCAAATAACTGAACGGGAACAAACAAAAAATATCGTAGATAAGACAGCCTTTTCGAGCCATATATATATATATATATGTACATTTGCCAGTTCATTTCCTTCAGACTTCTCTTTCCTGTCTAATATCGGTCATTTTCCCATACACTGACAACCACAGCTTTCACCCAACCTCCTTAGATCTCTCCTCGATAATTTAACTCTGAAGCTTCGAAATCAATTCTTGGAATGACTCTCTGATTGAGTTTTCTGTGCTTTTTAGTTCTGTTATTTATTGTTTTGAGTTGGATCTGATTTTGTATCAAAATGGACGGTGGTGATGGTACGCTGAAACTGGGGGCTCTGAACTTGAAGTCGGATCGGAGCGGCTTTGATTCGGGCCCTGATGTTTCTGTTTCATCGCCAGTGACCAGACAGAAAGCTGCTGCGGCGAAACAGTTCATAGAGAATCACTATAAGAATCACTTGCAAGGATTACAAGATCGTAGAGATAGGTGCGGAATTTGATCCTTCGATCTTTATTTCCTTTCTATTTCAGATTTGCTTCAATTCCGATATCTTATTCTTGCGTTAAGTGAAGTCAATTGTTAGTCAATGTTTAATGCATATGGTCCTAAAATAAAACTCTATGCATATAACTTTTTATTGTGCTTTTATTTATTTCAGTTATATTTTATTAGATTTGGAAATTGGTCCGCTACTACTATAACTTTCAGTTTTCAGCATTTATAGCTTACTGGTTTGTTAATTGATTAAAGATAATCAGTAACCTAAATGAAAACATTTTAACTTTGTTTCAGACGTCGAGCACTTCAAAGGAGAGCAGAAGAGGCTCGGGTATCAAATGAAGAACAAGAGGAGATGATGAGGAATTTGGAACGCAGAGAAACTGAGTATATGAGGCTGCAACGACGTAAAATTGGAATAGATGACTTTGAACAGTTAACTGTGATCGGTAAAGGTGCATTTGGTGAGGTAAACGAGACTATCACATCAACAATTTTCACCATTCTTTTGTATTGCTTTTATAGGGATGGGTAAAGTGTAGATTCCGAAGTATCGCACTTTCAATGAATCATAAGAATTTTAGCCATTTGTGAAAAAATTCAGGGTTTTTTGCCTAATTGGAGCCTATGTACTTTTTTCCATACTACTTTTATCATGGTTAAACATGAACAGACATTATCTTTGACTGGTAAACAGTGTGGCGTTTATCTAGTAATATGTTTAACAAATGCAGGTCAGGTTATGCCGAGCCAAAAGCACTGGAGAGATATTTGCCATGAAAAAACTGAAGAAGTCTGAGATGCTTAGCCGTGGGCAGGTAAGGCCACAAAAGTAAAGTTTCACTAGGGATCAAACTAAGATCTTTTTATTTTTATTTTTTTTGGACAATTCCGTTGGGAAGTGATAGACCATTTAAGCAATTTATTTGATTCAGCAGAATGCATCTCCTGATGCTTAATGAATGATGACAATTAAAGCAATGCTAACTTTGGTATAGCTGTAGGGAAAGCAATTCTGAATCAATATATTAGAAGCAGCCAGTTGCCTACATTGTTTATGTGCCTAGTATTCTATCAACATTTCTTTAGCTATCTGTCAAGGTTCTGAATTTGGAAAATACCTCGTTCTCCACAGAAGACTAGTGTATTACCTTTGCTAATTTTAGTTGATTGATTCAATTGATAATTATGTATTTTAGCCAAAGATTTGTAGCATCATGCCAATCATCTGCACCTATCATCAGTATGTAAAACTTCTAGAGGATAACTAAAATGGAATACATCCTTCAGAATCATCATAAATAAATAAAATGATGAATTCATAGCCAAAAGATAAATTCAGTTCAGTAACAATCTGACCAAACTAATACTTGACAGAGCCCTTTCAAGTTTTCTGAATCTTGAAATCAATCTGCATGTTTTATTTTGTACATCATAATGTATAATAATTATTTTTCTTTCCTTTTCTCTCTCTATTTTAAGGTTGAGCATGTCCGATCTGAGAGGAACTTACTTGCAGAGGTTGATAGTCGATGCATTGTAAAACTTTTCTATTCTTTTCAAGATTCTGATTTCTTATACCTTATCATGGAGTATTTACCTGGTGGAGACATAATGACACTATTGATGAGAGAAGATATTCTTTCTGAAGAGGTTGCACGCTTTTATATAGCTGAGAGCATTCTAGCTATCCACTCAATTCACCAGCACAATTATGTTCATAGGTATGACAGTTATATGAATTAGTAGTTTATTTTACAAGTTTATCATTTTTCCCTGTGGCTGTGGCCATGAGCTGCAAAAGTCTTTGGACATCAATTGAGTTTATCAATAGTATATCCACATTAGAGGGGCAATTTTGTGGATGAGCTTCATGCCTTCAGTTCATGCTAGGCCTAAGTTTTTAGTTCGCATCCATTTCCTGTTCTAGGGAGTAAAATGGTTCTAATTTGTGGAAGTATAATAATTTTTCTAACCTTCTGTTTTGATGGGACGACAAGACTACAGTTCTTAGTTTCTCTTTTCTTTACTTTGAGAATCTTGCAGGGACATAAAGCCAGATAATTTGATACTGGACAAAAATGGCCATTTGAAGCTTTCAGATTTTGGCTTGTGCAAGCCCCTGGATGATAAGTATTCAACAATTTTACTGGAAAATGGAGATATTTCTACTCAAGAAACAAATGAAGTTGGAGTACATTCTGGCAGCGATAGAGTTCCGTGGCCAATGCCAAAAGAAAAATTACAACAATGGAAACGTAATCGCCGTGCATTGGTATTAGCTTTATACATTTCTTCTTAAAAAGCCTTATTTTTGGCATTTAGTGAATTAAGCAAATATATCTTATCAAAATAAAAGGAGATTAAGCCATGTATTTTTCCTAGATGCAATTTGCTAGCATATGAAGTCATGACTTTACTTTCTACAAAGATTGGGCAATTGTTATTCTTCTTGAGAAGTGATTTTTATGTTGCAACTTACTAATTTACATCAATTCTCCTTAGGCCTATTCAACTGTTGGAACTCTTGATTATATGGCACCTGAAGTGTTGCTAAAGAAGGGATATGGAATGGAGTGCGATTGGTGGTCGCTGGGTGCAATCATGTTCGAGATGCTTTTAGGCTATCCTCCATTTTGTTCTGATGATCCCAGGATCACATGCCGCAAGGTAGTATGGCTAGTAACTATATGCGGCTTTAAGTTACTTGCTTAGAATTCTTTCTATTTGCTGAAAAGTAGAGAACTTCCATCTTCTATTAGATAATCAATTGGAAAACATGCCTGAAATTCCCTGATGAACCAAAGATATCAAATGAGGCCAAAGACCTTATTTGCCACTTGCTCTGTGATGTTGAAACAAGACTGGGGACCAGAGGAGTTGATGAATTAAAGGTAATTGCTTTTCCAAGAATAATTATATTCTGCGTTGCCATTATCATAAGACTTCAGTGGTTTTATGTATTTATTATATTGTCCACTCGTAAGTAGTATCGACACTGGTTCAGTGAAAATGATGACTCTGCTAACTTGTAATGGTCCAGGTGTAAAGATGCTCACAGCATGGTTGATCTTAATATTTTAAAATTGGTTCATGCCATTGCTGGATGGTTTTTGCCACTTTTTGATATTCTAATCCATACCTTAATATCGTGTGCTTTGAGGTGGTTAGTCTTCTAAGTTCTTCAATTTTTCAGGCACATCCATGGTTCAGGGGCATTCAGTGGGATATGCTGTATGAAATGCAAGCTGCGTATAAGCCTATAGTCAATGGAGATCTAGACACTCAAAATTTTGAGAAGTTTCCGGATGTGAGTTCTTATTTTTCATTTCAAGTATTACATTTTCGTTTTTTATCTTGTTTTTCTTCTTCTATATGAAAAAGAATCCTGGCTAAGTCTTTGTTTCTTGGCAGTTGGAGGGCCCACCATCCACGATACCAAGAGTGGGACCATGGAGGAAGGTAATGCCATTGCGTGATTGAGCTTTAATGAAGGTTCTGAGAAAACTAAGTTAATCTCTATTCTACAACTAGTATAAAAGAAAAAATTAAAAGTTATGACAACTGTTGACTGCCAATTGCTTCTAGCGTTTCTTTTGATATTCCTTTACCTCTTGACAATTTGTTCTTTGGCTTCTGTTGTCTCTCTCTCTCTCTCTCTCTGTGTGTGTTCTTTGGTGTCTATAATTATTTCTAAATGTTAGAAAATTAAGATTTATTGTCAAAAAGTGGGAAAAGAACATCGAGATTTTCTTTTTATTTTTGCAAATAAAGAACATCAAGTTGGGTTACTTGTGCTAGCTTTTGCTCATTTGTATGTATAATTTGGATTCTGTAACCGCCATGTACTTCTATATACCTGTTTTTTGGAGCTACATTGGGAAAATATTTTTCTCATATGAATTTATTTTAAGTTTGTCTCAAGATATATTCTATGCAATAATTAAATTAAATTATTAAAGCTTCTGTGGAAAAACTTGTGGTAACAAGCATATTTTTCGATATGGTTTATTACCATCCCCCTACACCTATCAGTATGATGGTTTTAATGTGCATTTAGATATTCAGTCTATGGTTCATCGGGTTTATTTGTACTTTTATAATTCTAATGCTCATTTCAATAGGCTAGGCAATTGCCTTCAGAATTACCAGTTAAAATGCATTGCATATATGCCATTTTTGGGAATTCTGGCTTCTAAAATATCTATTTAGAGTTTTAAACCTCCTTTCTTCGGTGTTTTCCATTTGTTCAGTTTCAATATTTCCCTCTCCATTTGGAAGGACATTCTATTATTTCTTTTTTTTTTGTCAAAGATTTGTCATATATGATTACCATATTATTGGAGTTGGGGAACCCCTTGCTCTATATATTATCTACGTTGGTTGGTTCTCAATTTTGCAATATGAGTGCATTATTTTCTTTCTGAAATACATGTGCCTATTTTCAGCTGTGGGCCTGTAGTTTTATATGATTTTGGTGCTAATTTTTTCCAGTATGTACTGTATGTTCCATAATGCAGATGTTGACATCAAAAGATACCAATTTCATTGGATTCACTTTTAGGAAATCAGACATCCTTAACTCACTGGAAAGTTCAGGTAACTTTGAAGCTTGATTATTTTCCTTTGGTAACGATGAGCTCTTAATGTTATTTTGTGAGACTATGATTTTGATGCTTATAATATATATATGCACTTTGTATCCGTTAGGTGCGTGCCTAGCTGTACACCTTGCACTTCAGGCTCCAAAACGCTTTGTGCCTTAAACTGCATTGGGCATTTAACAACATTGATCAATGCCATATTGCATGCCTTGCATCGCTAATAGAGCTAATCTGATTGATTTTCCATTCTTATTTCAGGTGCAGATGTGAACTCAAATGTATCTTTTAAGGCGCCATCTTTAATCTCCTTGTTAGGTATGAAACACCCCTCACCTGACAACAAAATAAGTTCACTCGGTAGTTGAGTAGAGTTGTCTTACCATTGCATTTGTGGCAGTAGAATATTGATGAATGATAAATCTAGTTCTCAAAAGAGAGGAACCAGTCCTTAATTTGGTAGTTGACTTGCAGCTCTGTTTGATTTCCTAAGGAGTAAATTTTCTATTTCAGCACTATGACCTTGTCAGGGATTTGATTTCCTTTACTTGATCACATAAGCGCAGTTTTTGTGAATCTGTACAGAAGGATTCTTTGTTGTATAATAGCAATTTTTTTTGTTGTTTTTATTTACATGTTGGATCTTCAGCATGGTCACAAACATACATAGAGTTAAACATTACTAGCCAGTTTTTGATTTTAAACATGCAGAGGCTGGTATTAGTTGGATAATTTCTTATATTGTTTCTTTTTTCAAATGTGCAGGTCGGATTGACCTACAAGAGAATGTGTTATCAGAAGAGGAGCAAACTCACGAAACTTAATTTCCAAAATCACGCCTTGCCTTGATTGAAATTGTTATTCCAAGTTTCTTCACAAGATAATCCTCAGGGAGGAATTATACAATACAGGACCTAGCAAGAGCTTATTGTGCAGGCATGAATAAAGACATCAACTTTCGAGCTGATGTGATCTTGATCTTGATTCTGTTCAATTTTTTTTCTTGCACCCAAAATGATTTGATACTGTAAATCCGGTAAATAGTCCAATTCAACTCCAATATAATTTTTTTTTTCTTCAAGCGCTTATTTATTTTCCTTTATCCCTGTCAAGATCGGGCATTGTCTATACAATTTTGTATTTGTTTTAATTGTTCTTAAACATGCCCTAGTTGTATATTAAAATACATGTTTTTGTGCTTTTCGTTCTCGTATTGAAAGCTTCATAATTCGTCCATGGTTTTTGAGATCACTTGCCTTCACACTTCACAGTTGAAATTTCAGTGATTGTAAGTTTGTAACTACCCGAAGCTGCACTTGGAATACATGCGAATCTGTTCTCTAGGCTAGTGGACTTTCATATTTTATGATTTGTCTTGTCAGTGCCTCTAGGATTATATTATTGTTTCCTGGAACTATGTGAATAATGGTTTCTTCAGACAATAATATACCGTCCATTAGTTCCCATTTCCTTATCTAGGCATCACTATTCATTCCAAGTTGGATTCCTTTTTCATTATCCTAGACTTGTTGTGATTCGATGGCGTACGGTCATACTGTACTGCTTCAAGAGGTAGCACCTCGTTTTCATCAATTAGCCCCACATTATTATTATCTACCAGCTATGGTTTATAATTATGTACTTCAACTATTATATTTTCTACTTCTTTTATCAGGGAATAAAATATTGCCTCCATCATCAATTTTTAATTCTATTTTTATTTACTTTTCATGCTATCCAATGTCCATTGCAGAGTTTTCCGAATACGTTAATTTAATTCAATTAAATTTAAACAAAATTCAGTAAATCAATTCGATTGGATTGAAGTTGAGAAGATTTTCTCAAAAGGGTATTCATGACTTTTCGTTTTTTCTATTCTGTGCAAGGAATGAATAGGACCCAAAAACAGCACCGAAGTTGAAGGAGCGCGGGAAGCGGAGTTGAAAAGCTAACAGTGGCGGACAATGAAAACTAAAAAGTGCACCGCCACGTAATCTTCACTCTCAAGTCAAGAGAAGAGATATTTTCGATGCGCGAAAAAAAAATATCTGCTTCTCCTTGGTGATAGTCGGCTTGTTTACCTGACGTGGCAACTGACACGTGTAAAAGCGGTGACAACTGTAACTTTCTTTTGTCCTCAAAGGCCAAACCCACCTCCATTTCATCACATATTCTACTTCCTCTCTCTTCCGTTGCGTCCTATCTTCTCCCTCTATGTCTGTATATCTGCCTCTAAATCTGCCCTCTAATCCTTTAATTTAGTGAAGATATAGACATGGAAGGTTGCAGAAGTGAAATTCGGGCGCGTTCACAATCTTCTGAATCAACGGGCGGCGATTCAGGCGATTTTGATCCACAGGTAAGACACTTGATGTATGCTAAGTTTGAATTATAGATAACTAAACCAGACTAACTGGGGAAAATACAATTTTTTGGACGAGAATCAGATTTTTTTATCTTTTTTAATTATGAAATATGCTAATAACTGGAGAAAAATTTTTCCTGGACTTTCAGAAATATAAATTAAGCAAATTAAAATAAAATTTTCGTGCTATAATTTCTTTTTTTTTTTTTTTTTTTAAGATTCAGAAATATAAAATTAAGCAAATTAAAATAAAATTTTTTCGTTGCTCTATTAATTTAAACTTTTTTTTTTTTTTTTTTTTTTTAAATTATTATATTTTTGAAGATTATAAAAACGTGCATTTGCAATTCATTTTGCTTGCTTTCCTTTTTAAAGAAGACTCTGTTGTCTTTTGCTTCAAACTTATTGGACTTGTTCGTTTGTGAGTTAATTACGCAACATTATCTGCCGTTTTTGTGAAGCGAAAAAATCAATGCATTTTCTTTAAGCTGATTTTTTAATTTAAAACACTGACACGTTCCCTTTGCTCTATTTAATTTTAAAAAAAAACCTTTTTGGGGGGTGGAGGGGGGCGGCAACCAACCCATTTTTTTTTTCGCCTATTAAACCCACTTATTAGTCGGTCCCTTTCTTGGTTTGAACATGTCGCAACAACGTTTCGTGTCTTTCTATCTGAAAGAGAACGCTTTCTGGTAATAGGACGAAGCGGTTTCAATGTCCACTTTCTTCATAATCAACAGAACCTGTACGTTTCTTTTAGAGAGGTACCATTACTATCTTAGCTAAACTTTTTTTTTTTTTTTTTTTTAAATTTATATTTTGAGATAAAACGTGCTTGAATTCATTTTGCTTGCTTTCCTTTAAAAAGATCTGTTCTTTTGCTTCACCTATTGACTTGTCGTTTGGGAGTTATCGCAACATCTGCCGTTTTGTGACGAAAAACAAGCATTTTTTGCTGATTAAAACGACACGTCCCTTTGCTCTATTAAATTACTGGCCATTCGCCTATTAAACCACATGTCGGCCCTTCTTGGTTGAACTGTCGCACAACGTTTCGTCTTTCTATCTGAAGAGACGCTTTCTGGTAAAGGACAAGCGTCAATGTCACTTTCTCAATCAACAGCCTGTAGTTTCTTTAGACATTACACTTAGCTAAACTTAATTATTTTTAATATTTTCTGCTCGTTCAATACGCTGCCGTTCTCTTCTTATCCTCTCGGACGACTTGCCGTGTGAACGACTACTTGTAAATTGGATATTCAATCAAAGAATCTGGTGAATCCTAAGACTTCTGATATTTCTGGTCCCAGGAAATATTTTCATTTTTTTTAGGTGAAATCTGCAAAATACAATTCTTGTTTGAACAATAAACATCTTATTCCGCGGCTGTTGAAAATTCTGGTTATATATAGTAAAGGGAGAATGGGAAATATATCTCTTGCGCTTGGGATTCACAGTGTAATCAGATGATTTTCATGCACTTGAAATAGTTCTTGCTAGTCAAAATAATTGAACTGTGATATGACCAGAAGTCAGCAGATTACTCTTAGATACTATCTCAGGATAAATAACTCCTTTTCACAAGCCCAAAGTTCACAAATCAACCAATTAACCATAAGCTGGGTAACTGTTATTTACTTGAATTCATGGAGTTATGTGATTGAACTGGAAGAGTTGATCTTAAGTCTGGTAGAATTGGTCTTCTCATTAGAATTGATACATTATTTTCTTGTCTTATTGATCAAATGCACAAGAAGAAGTTGATCAACTGGAAGCAGTAATTTATATATCCTACTTGTAAGAATTTTTCTCTGTGCCAAAAGAATATAGAGAAAAATGCAAAAAGATATCCTGTGGTTTCATACTTTTTGTCAAAGCCTGAAGTGAAAAATGTTAAACCACAATACTACATTATCTAGTTGAAGCTTTATACATGCATAGAAATAATTGAGAAGCTGGACCGGTTGTGGGTTGTGACTGTTGGTCCTTTATCAGATTTTACTGTTTTTTTATCAGGCCATGATATTAATGATATATTTTTTTTCTTTTTAAACTTTAATATCAGGGATTGCAGATGACAGAAACTATGTCTATAGAGTGGACAAACGAGAAGCATAGCCTTTACCTTAAATCCATGGAATCATCATTTGTAAACCAATTATATAACTCCATGGATCTTCTTGGTAGGCAATTGCAGAAGGAGATGTCAGATCCCGAATCATCACAGCAAGAACATAGTAACACTCGTGCTCCGTCTGGCCAGGTTGGAAACTGATCTCTTAGGTTTGCTTAAGCGACTTCCATTGTGTATAAACCCATGTTCTTCATGCAAAAATGTGTTTTTTATTGATGGAAACGCCTTTTTATGTTTTCTATCTTATTTCAACTTTCCTTCAGTTTAAGGTTCTTCGGGGTGGTTGCTGGCAGAAAATCAACTTTCAAAGGCCTGATTCACAAGCGAACATCACAAATGAACCCAATGGCGAACTGATAAGTCCATGGATCCAGCACTTTAGGCCTAGAAGAAAGCCTCAAGAAAGTGCTGCATCCCATAGACAAGCAACCAGCTCAAGCAGGAATGAGGTGACTTCCAGTGGAAAAGCAAATTGTTCAAAACATTCTCCTCTATGCCACTGCTATTCACGCAATCATGGCCTTCTTGACAGCAATACAGGTAATTTCAGTTAATTATATTTTGTTATATCTCTTAATAGATTCTCCTTCGGTTGTGTCAGCATTGGTTTTTCTGTCATGTATTACTTTTCAACTTCATAGTGTTGTCATCCCCTTTGTTTCATTATTGACCTTTTGAGGGGTTAGAAACATAAGTAAATCAGTGAAACTGAAGACCAAAAGTATGAGAACTGAATTTCTGGACATTGTAAGAGTATGTCTCTGGAGAATAATTCAAGTGTTAATACTATAATTACATGCATACTTAAAGCAACATCTTGATGTCAAAATATCTATACTGCTCTTGTTCTTACAGAGGTGTCCGATCAAAATTTTGTGGATGAAGTTTTTAAAAGTGAAAGAGGAAGCAGCACATGCAGCTCAAAAAGGATGAAAACTCAGACGATGGGTACTTCAATTAATGACCAGGAGCACACTAGCTCACATAAAAATGAACTGTTGTAGTCCCACATTATCCATGTCTAGTTACTTTCACAGGTTGTTCCATTTGGAAAACCATCTGTGACAGAAGATACTGCTGAGAAGTGAGAAGTGTATTTCTGCAACTAGATAAATGATCTGCACCATTGACTGGCAATTAATGGACCTGGCTGGTTTGGTTCGGACGGCTGTTCTCTAGACCTGTGAAGAGATTGAAGGAACTCTGTTAACTTTACATTCTTGTAGCAATTCCGGATGGGTAGGTGGGTGCCAGTTCGAGGGATTTTTGAATAGCGGATTTGTCCATATGGTTACAATTGGCACTAGTTTTACGCTGCTGTGAGGAATCCTCTGTCACAGTGGTCTATGAATTTTTTTTTTTTTTTTTTTTTTTTTAACTCTGGTAACTTTACATCTTGTTTAGCCAATTCTCCGGTATTATGGGTTGAGTAGTGTATTATCGGTAGCCAGTTCGAGGGATTTTTGAAAAAATAATAATAGCGAGAATATTTCCATTTATTTGCGTTACAATTAGTGCACTTAGTCGTTTTACGCTGCTTGTGAGGAAATTCCTCTGTCACAGTGGGTCTATGAATTTATATTTTTTTTTTTTTTTTTGTCTTCTGTATTCTATTGCCGGTGACTTAGTACTTGCTTGTTGTTGGCTAGTAAGATTTTTAATATTCAGTATATGCAAGGTGGTATTTTAAAGCTCTACGATTATCCTATTTCAGAGTACCATTCCCTATGTAACATATGGAAGGAACCTTTTTTTTTTTTTTTTTTTTTTTTTGTTCTCTGTATCTTTGCGGTGTGTTGGTAGTAGATATTTTATATTCAGTAATGAAGGTGTGTATTTAAGCTACGATTATCATTTCAGAGTACCATTCCTTGTACATAATGGAGAACCTTGCCATTGATTCAGCTAACTTTTCTTTTTCCACTGGAAAGTTTACAGTTACAAGGCTTTGCATATTTGTTTGGATAAAATATTTTCATATTGTTTTTTTTTTATGAGAACCATGTAATCCACATACGAGAAAAGGGCATAACCTTTGTGCTTACAAGAAACAATCTCTTCATGTAAATGGGCTGTCTTGCATTTCTAGCGCATGGGGACTGACGGACACACGGCGGTAAGGATGGCCTTTTTTCACGTAGCACGTACTCCATCCGTCCCGTGTATATATTATATAGCATATATCCCATGTATATATTAAAAAGTATATAGGTTTTCTTTTTTTAATTTGTCCTCATTTTTTATTTCGAAAAATCATTTATTGTGTATTTTTTAATATAATATACATTTATATTTCCAATTATATATATATTCTTTAATATTAGCATAGGGATATTTTAGAAAAAAAACTATACAAAAAATACAATTTAATTATATTAATTAGTTTGCTTTAATTCATTTGAAAGACGAATTAAGCCTGTATATATAAGATAGAGGGAGTTACATTTAGTTTTTTTGACTACCTTTATTGTTTATAGTATTCGGCTATATTAAGCCACGTGGTTCGTTTTCCAAAAGAAAGGAAGCCCTTCGCTTCTTTGTTTCAATTTAATGTCAGTTTTCAGGAAAGGAACGTAGAGTTGAAATTTCCTGACCCAAAAACGTCTTCGACTTGGAAACAAAATGCTTCAGCCCTAATTTATAACGACCCGCACATCCTTAGGTTTCGTTCTCTGTCCAAATTCGCGCCTTATCATCCAATTCATCAATAAGGTTTGCGCTTCCCTGTCTTTGATTGTTTCTTTCTTAGGGTTTCAAATTTCAAATCCTCTCTTCAATCGTGTAATCCCCTGAAATATTCAAGTTTTGGTTCTTTTCATTTCTTTTGATTCTTCAAAATTGGGGTCAATTGGCTCTATTTACAATGCCACCATTCATGTCGTCCTCCAAGGCAGTGCGGTCCTTGATAACGAGTAAAAATGTTGCCGAATATTTGATCAGGTCAGCGAAAAATAATTCTAGATTTGATCGGATTCGATGTTATAGTAGCATTGTTGGCATCTCAGCCCCTTCGGTCGGTGAAGTAATTGATAGGAAGAAGAATTTTAGTTTCACATTGGGAAGCTTATATAATAACGCCAGTGCTGCTCAGAAAAGACAGTTCCTTGGTTGCGGTGATGGAGAGGAAGGCGGTGTTTTATCCAAAGTTTATGAAGAAAGGCGCGTTCTAGGGTAATTTTAGCTTAAAGGGATTGCTTTTGTAATTACTGCTTTTTTTTTTTTATTGTTGAATGAAATGGTTATATCTTTTGATCTGATATGAATGTTGATTTTAGGTATTCTCCGGAGCAGTTATTTGATGTGGTTGCAGCTGTTGACTTGTATCATGGATTTGTCCCTTGGTGTCAGCGGTCTGAGATACTGAAATACTACCCAGATGGATCATTTGATGCAGAACTGGAGATTGGTTTTAAATTTCTGGTGGAGAGTTATATTTCTCATGTGGAGTTAAACAGACCTAAGTTCATAAAGGTAAATCAGTTGTCTTTTCGTGTTAAAGATTCCGTGATACATGAACTATCTTCTACATTGTAATTGTTATGGACGTAAAACTCATATCATCTGATGTGAGGACACATTTTTAACTGAAGATCTGCGACCTATTCACTCTTGACCTGTTCAATGTCTCAAATGAGCATTTGGTATAAGAAGTACTAATTTTTAATTCAATGTAATTGAGATCAAGACGAGCATGAAGTTCAGAGTTTGCCAGCCGCACAGTGTTGTAATGAATCTGCTTGAGTTGACCAGGGCCTTAAGCGCATATATCCTGAAAATGCTAGTAACTTTGTTTGGTAATAAGTTGATGCCAGCTTGATAATGCTTCTTTATATCTCATGGTCTATATCTAAATCAGTTTAAAGTGTGATTGCTTCTATGGATTTTTCTTACATTTTGTGAACCTAAATATGTTATTAACACATTGTTATTAAAGTTTTTATTTCATTAAAATTCCTTTGGTGTATGGTTATTGACAATTATTTTTCATTCTGCTTTACTTCCAGACAACTGTGTCAGATAGTACAATTTTTGATCATTTGATAAACATTTGGGAATTCAACCCGGGACCAGTTCCAGGAACTTGTGACCTTCACTTTTTTGTGGATTTTAAGTTCCAGTCTCCACTTTACAGACAGGTACATTCAGATCCTCTGTTTTTAATTGGTTTTAGGTTTTATAAAGCACCAATATACAGCAATATTCCTGAAAAACTTTGAGAATATGTGTTCTATCTCAAAATTACAAAAGAATGAAGTAATCTGTTGATAGGTTGAGATATTTTGTATTCAGGTGTGCATTATATGATATATGCACATATATGATTTAGAAAATTGCTCTGGTGTCTAATTAGTTCTAACCAAAAATGGTTCTATACACCCAGAATGCAATTTACACTTACCATATGTGTGCTGAGCATAGTTGTCAAATCGAGAATCGAAATCCCTATTTTTTGAATTGAGAATCGAATCGTATCATAAGATTCGATCGTTCAATTAAAAATTATTAATTTTATTCAAAAAATATTAAAAATCAAAAAGCAAATCATAAAATAAAATTGAATTGAATGACATATAATATGTCAATACCTGATTGTAATTGCAGAGAATATAATAATTTTTTTGAATTGAGAATCGAATCGTGATCATAAGATCGGATCGGTTCAAATAAAATTATTAATTTTAAATTCAAAAAATATTTTAAAAATCAAAAGCAAATCATAAAATTAAAAATTGGAATTTGTAAATGACATATATTATGTCAATACCTGCATTGTAATTGCAGAGAATATAATAGTAATTTGTGATTAATTTTATTCAAAAAATATTAAAAATCAAAAAGCAAATCATAAAATAAAATTGAATTGAATGACATATAATATGTCAATACCTGATTGTAATTGCAGAGAATATAATAGTAATTGTGTGAATTAGTTTGGACTTTAATTGTAAATATTTTGTTTCCTCGTGACGTGACATTGATTAAAGTGCACTAGAAATAGTCTACTATGTGTACATGGAAAAATTAGTCGTTTCTCCTCTAGTAATATATGTTCAATTCTCTCTGTTTAATTATTTTTATGGCTTTATTAGACAATGCATGGAGCAGTTTTCTCTTTTATTTTGCTTTTTTCCAATTGATTTCTGAAGCATGTGAATCGACCGATTCATTGCGATGCAACCGATTCATCACTGATTCAGGCTTATTTCCGATTCTACACTAAGATCCGTATCATTTTCCATTAGATTCGATACGAATCGTACTATTCTAACAACACTAGTGCTGAGCACTTTGTTTGTCTGCTCCAATAATTATTGTTGCTTTTAGCCTGGAAGTTAAATTCGGACTGCAGAAATCAATCTATCATAAAAACCAATATCATAAAAAGCTTCCAATATGAAGTGGGAGGTATCCTCACTCAATGACAACATTCAAGTTCAAAAAGAAAAATTTCTGAAGAAGTCTGTGTATGCTGCGCACATGCTAAACAAGCAAATAATTATACACCTATCCCCAAAAACTAATATCATCAACATAAAACGTGAATGATGTTGGATTATATGAAATTTTAGTTGGCATATCAGGTACTTTTTCTGAGGGTATGCCACTTACTAAGTAAAACCCTAAAGTACATAATAAGGCAGGAGGCTTTTATATCTCACTTTCCAGAATAAATAGAAATGTAGTTTTGATAAAGAAATAATGTTTTTACTCGTAGAAATTTTTTCCTCAGCTGCTTATGTTAATCTATATGGAACTTGAAAAGATGTGAATGACATTACACATGCATCTTTGTAAAATGTTGGCATATGGAAATTGTAGAACTAAGAACATTCATATCAACAGACACATCTAAAAACTTGTTGAAACCAAATTGCATGTAGTTATACAATGAAAAAGAAGAAAAATTCTAACATTGCACTAAAAAGTTGTTGAAACCAAGATTGTATTACCATTTTGTAATAATCTCAAGAGTAGATTGCTTGCACGCTTTCAAATTGTATCTGGTAGTTGTACAATGGAAAAAAAAGCCTAATATTGCCAATGTGCAAAATCACTATTGAAAATGTTTTGAGACTCATGAGAACATCATTTTCTAACAAAAATTGTGAAGCACTAGTCCTTGGAATTTCCTAAAGCACTAGCTTTCGAAGAGTCATGAAAATTGGATTTTGGAAATAGAAACTGCACAATTGACTATGTAGTTACTACAGACTCATTTTCATAATTTGGATAATATTGGATTACACAATGAATGTCCAATCAGAAAAACCCTGACTTTCCCCGCACTTATAAGGAGTTCTGTTGTACAAAAAAAAAAAAAAAAAAAAAAAAAAAAAAAAAAAAGGAAGATGGAATTGTATAACCAATTGTTACTTTCCTATAAAGATCTAATTCTTTAATAGATCAAATGTGTTAATGAACAATGATCTATTTGTGGATGAATGATGCCTTCTTTTCTGCTTTCTTTCATCCTACTAATAATTGGTTCAACGGTTTTATTATGTTAGTATAGATTAGAATTATAGGTTGCTGAAGAAAGATGTGAGAATCATGGTCAATGTCTCATGCTTCAACAGCGATCCATGTATTTAGAAATGGGATGCTTCACAATATGTTGGCACCATTCACATTCCAAATAGGTTCCTAAAAATATGTGGTGAATTTCAGTTCAAGGGATATTTAAGAAATTGAGGATCCTGATTTGGTGATGGCTATGTTTGACAGGTGGCATCCATGTTTTTCAAGGAAGTGGTCTCCCGTCTGGTTGGTTCATTCAGTGAGCGTTGCCGTTTGATATATGGACCAGGAGTTCCAGTACTTGAGAAATCATATGAGCAAAAAGCATAAAGCGTCTTATCACTCTCATTGCAGAAAGCCCTTCTGAGGGTCTTTGAAAACCATATGGGATCAGATGAACACTTTTACCATTCATTTTGCCATGTGGGTGGTTTTTGTTTTGTTCACTGCGCAGCTAATTGGTGCTCTACTGATTGTAATTCAGGGTTTTAATGCCTGCCTTTGCCAGTTACCCAGCAAGGAGGGAAAACGAAATATCACATTACCATTTTAGACGTGCTTTTCTTTTTCACTCGATTCATTGAGTTGTCTACTTGATTCGATCATCTTGAATGTATACTCTGCTTATGATTGGATTATTTATGCATGTACTCTTAGATAAAAAAGAGAGTAATGCAGCAATTGTGATAGTTTGTCAAAATGAACTGACTAAAATACAAGCAAAAGTTCCTAGATTCTTGGAGATATAGAAGAGCATATAAGTTATCATGCTTGCACGTCCCGATTTGAGTCTCCAACAATTATTTCAATAATTACATATGGACGAATATGCAAGCATATGTTTCAATAATTACATATGTTTCATGCTTGCATAATTTAAGTCTCAAACAATTATTCCAATAATTATATATATGATTTGACTTATGGAAGAATGTGCAAGCATACATTTAATGCTTGTTTGAGTAATAGCAATGAGATTCCCCGCTATGCTCAAAAAGCTAGGATTTCCAGAAGAAGATGCCATTCATGGATTTGGCCACCAGTCAATCAAATTCACTGGATTTGGCAATTCATTAGTATGAATGAATGTTATCAAACTATTAATGACCATGATATACGAGCTTCTTTTTTAATTTTTGATATATCTTCTAAATGTAAAGACTTAATTGCTGGAAATCTTTCAACAAAGATGTACAAATAAAACCAGGAGGGACAAGACAGGCCACTCGACGAACAAAGACAATTGAGAAATACCCTCGTTTTTCCTTGAGCCTAGGGACAATTATTTGTCTTTAACGCCGTCGTTTCAAGCTATTAGCGGATTTGAAAAGGATCAATAAGACTTATAACCCAAATATAGCCCAACCCAATTGAACTTTTAGGTAATATAAAGTTATCGTTGTCGTCCAATAACGTACATTTGAGTGAGTCGTTATAGATTTCTTTTTGTAGAATTTTGATTCTTTGCATTTATATTTTCAAATATTAAAAGGTACGAGTCCATGTGATTAGCTAAGTCAGAATCAACATTGAATATTCACTTTTCGGTTACGTTTGCAATCATGCAGTTTGAGATGAATTGATTAAAGCTTTCGGTGACGTAATAAATTCAATAATTGTGTGTAATTGATTCCCCTTCATTCTGGCTATACAAGTGGGGAGCAGATATTTTCTTTTCTTTTTTTTTTTTTTTTTGGGTGGGCAGATATTTTCTTTTCTTTTTTTTTTTTTTGTGGAAAATTAATACAATTTGCTTCAAACATCATATCGTAGTTTACAGCATTCTGAAATAGCCACTCGTATGAAAGTGAATAATTTTGTGTTTACATTTCAATTTTGTTTTAAATTCTTGATTCTAACCCAAGAAAAAAAAAAAAAAAAAAGAGAGGAAGAAAAAAAAAAAAAAAAAAAAAAGAGAGAAGAATTTAGGTAATGGATGACAGGCTATAAAAACATGAAAATGACAAATCTAGATCCACGAAGCATTATGCAATAGGAAAATAAAGGATTATGGCCAAATCTTTTGACGATGTTCAAAACTTTTTGGAGTTCATTTGTCCCCCAAATGTTGCCATCACCCAAGGCTTTATCATCACCTTTGCAAGCTCAAGCTCAAAAACTGCGTCTAAACCTAATATTCAAAAATGATATTGGCTTTCTTAATTACCCTTTTCTTAAAAAAATTTTATTTAGCTAGTATAAGTAGAAATGATAATACAAGTATTTCTTAAGCAGTAGGTAAAGTATTCGAGACCAAACCTGATCCGCTCTCATTCCTAAATGTGAGACTTAATGCCAAATGATATCAATTCAAATAACCGCGATTGAAATACGATAAATATCATTGTAATTGACTAAGAAGAACATAACAAGCGAGATTAAATTATTAGATGCGAGCTAATAAAAGGTGGAGGATAAAAATAGAGAGTTAATTGAATGATGATAAGGCTACTTTAACCATGCATAAGGAACTGATGATGGGAAGTTTAAATATTAGTGGAAACCGTAAGAGCTGTCATGATCTTGACCTTGTTAGCAAGATTCCATTTACCTATGGACACAATATCAATAATTCATTCACTTTAATAGATACTCCAGCTGGAAAATTGCGATGTGGCATTTTGAGATTTCATTTTACAGGATCTTGTTTGTTGCAGTGCAGATGATTAGATACTGATACTAATCCATCTTCTATTCTCAACCATAATTTTTACCTATTCATTCATATTATGATGAACAGCTAGCTAGCTATTAGAATATCTCCTTTTTTACTCTCTTTCTGCCGTATGTTACAAAATTGAAGCAATCATCAATCAGCAATCAACAAAGCCACCCTTTAGTTTTGCTTTTTATTTCTTTCTCTTATCTCTTTTTTCCTTTTCCTTCTCTTTCCTCTTTCGTTTTCATTTCTTCATTTTTATGTTCTTTTGTTAAACACTGTTTCAATTAGACAAATCTTTAACATGCTACTGATATCACGTCAGGAGTTCTAGTTTTTGTGATCTATTTTGTTTTGAATGTCAAAACTTTGTATAGTGGGAAGACAAGAACGTACAATTAATATTGCAAGTTGCAAAATCTGTTGATCAGATTTGCAGAAGATATATGCAAATGGGTTGTGAAAAGAGAGGAAGAAGATAATGAAGATAGAGTTGCCGACTTCAGATTGAACAGAAGAATACTGGATAAAGCATATTTGAGATGGGCATAAGTTTTACTCTGCACTGCTGGTTTGACTACTATCTAATTTAGGCTCAATCTTTTATTAACAATAGAAAAATATTAAAGAGTTTTAAATGCTAAAATTTTGGAGCTTTAATTCTTACTTTAAATTAAAATAAATGCGGGTATTAAAATTTTAAATGATCAGTGTTTTAAAAAAAATTCTAAAATGAGTATGAATATGAAATTTTTAGACGGATTTAACTATAAAAAATGTAAATTTTTCTCATCATCGATTTGATTGAGAGATGACAACAATTTTAGTGTTGGAAAAATTGGATCAGACATTCTCATTGTAAAGGATATTACCAAGAAAAAAAAAAAAAAAGGAATAATAAAGGTAAATATTTTTGCAATGGTCAAAAGGAATAATTGAAAATTTGATCTCTTTTGTTACTTTAATTGTGTTGTATCTTTTTGATGACTTGGCTTCAAAAAAAAAAAAAAATCAAAATCCAATAAACTGTGGTAGGGTAACCATTGGGCCTGCCCCCAGTTAAAAGTAGTGATAGTAGAAAGCTTGCGCAGACAGGACCCAACCCTACCTCCCTAATCCAACGTTTTTTCTATTTATTTATTTTTCCTGTTATGGATAATTTTTGAAATTTTGTTGTTTTTTTTGGCCATCATGCGAGACATGAAGTAGATAATATAATCTTAAAACCAAGGTACTCCTTTGGACCAAATGCTTCTTAATTAGGGATAACTTTGACATATCACAACTATTCAATAAAAAGAACTTACAGTTCAATGCCACGTATCATAATATAATTTTGAAAATGGTCAAATGCATTAATTCACCGATGTATTTATACAAAAAAAAAAAACCTTTCTATGGCACTTTCAACTTGCAAAAATTTTCTATTGAAAATTTTAACTTTTAAAATTATATCGATTAATCACATTTATTGGTAGTAACGGACCCAATCCAAATAGTTGGGGGCCAAAAAATAATTTTATTAACTAATTATAGGTGGCAGAACTAAAATATTTAGTTTTTCAAAATTTTTTTAAATCAAAATTTGATTTTTTTTTATTATTTTATGGTACCTTGTGTCCGCCCCTAAAACAAAATTTTTAAAATTTAGGTCAAATTTATGCATTGGACCTCCTAAAAACTAGGATCCTTAGTAATGCAATTGGCCAAATTAACCCTAAGGGTTTAAATAATAATTACTCTAATATTAACTAGTTTATATTTATTTAATTTATAATTTGGTGAATTATAATAAAATGTTCTTTTCACACATATGCTTACTTTAGATAAGAGCTTTTGCCCCTTAAGCAAACAAATCGAATCTCCACATAAATACATATATTTATAATATATATAATCATATATTTTTTGGAATTAAAACCATCGTAATCTTCTTATTAATATACCAAATTTTGGGAAACCTGCAATTGTATCTAAAAGGATCTCACCAGTACCTTGTTAACGTTTCCATATATATAATATATATATATAATATTATACATATTGTTCAATCGTATCCGTGGACATTATTATGTTTTTTCTTTCATTCTGGAGTTCTTTCAAAGAGTCATGAGAAATATTAACAAGTATTATATATATATATATATATATACATATGTTCAATGTATCCGTGACATTATTATGTTTTCTTTTTCTGGAGTTCTTTCAAAGAGTCATGAGAAATATTAACAGTATATGAACATGTACATGCACTGTACAGCAGACGCAAGATTAACGGTGGATGTGATAATGCTCTTTTCACCTCAAACAAATACTTATGTTCTTTATGTCTTTTTTCAACATCTATATATACAAAATCTTTATAGACTCTAACTTTGGCTGACAAATAGCTTGTTTTTATGCCTGCATTCAATTATTTCAGTTTCAAATAAGACTGCCTCTGACTCTAGGGGAAAAAAATCTCTCAAGTAGATTGTGTATTCGGTTGCCAGTTAATTATATAAAATTTTATTTCTTGGTACTAATATTTTGAATAAGCTATTTCACGAGAATCATAAATCAAGAATCCTCAAATAAGTTCGTGTAAAGCCTGCTAGCTAGTTAACATATAAATTAATTAAATTTTAATGTGATTGCAACAAATTTATGATTTTATCGTATAATTTAACTTTATGAAAAATGGTAGGAAGTTTGAATATTCCAATCAAGGTTGACGAAAAGATAAATATGCTAACCCAGACATTGGACAAGACTAAAAGGTTGAAGGTTCCCCCGAATCAACTGCACCGCCAAAAAATTGTCGCGTTGTAGAAGAAGATTGTAATAATCTCTAGCCCTAGCTAAACTGAGACCTTCCAAAATAGCCCAAAGTTGAGCATCTAAAACACAGGTCCAAACAGAATAAAACCACTCTTCCAAAGACACCGATCATCACGAGAAAGACCATGAGAGGTAAGAGATCCATCAGCATAAGTAAGTAAATATGAAAATTAAACTCTCTTACTTTTTTGTTTTATTATTATTATTATTATTATTATTACTAATATTTAGGGAAAAACTTAAAAATATGGTCGATATGCAAT